TAAACTTTTTACATATATAATAGCATTATAAATATCGTTTGATTAGAAGTTAAAAGATAATAATTAGTACAGTATATTACCTTCCTCAATAAATAGACTGTAAAATCAGCTTTATAACGTATAGTCATATTATCCCGTTTCCGAATCTCCATAAAAACAATAAATGTGGTCGACCACACGTGTGACGTTGTCGATCCTACTTGATATGACGTAATTTGCATATTCGACTTGTGAATACGCTTACAGATGTGTACCAGACCGTAATGTACTTGTAGAATATCTATATCTATATATATAATAAAATTGTAACTAAGTCGAATCTGTACATTAAATATTTTTTGGAAAATCTTATTGATTGATTATTCATTATTATCGATACAGAAGCCGGATCTATAGTTTTTAGAATTTTTGTCTGTATCTCTGTTTGTCTGTTTGGGAACACAAGAAAATCACTGGACAGATTTTGATGAAATTCGGTATGATGATAGCTGGTTATCCGGGTCAACATATAGAATACTTTTTACTGCGGGCAAAATATCTCATTTCTGATAAATTTATTCTGTTAAAACGTAAGTAACTAGGGACTAACTCGAGTGGAGTGAGGGTGAGTCGCTAGTAAATTATAAAGTAGGTACCTTATCAGCATACATAACTTGTAACAGTAAAACTAAAAGCGTCTGCTAGTTTATTAGCTTTCTTATTTGTACGATATCTGTGCTGTCAGCTGAATAGTGATCTTACATTACGATAAATAATAATATGGGAATTTTATTTACATTCATTACAAACTGTATCGATCTTAAACTATTGTAACGAGGTGGAAGTTTTTCGATTTTTTGTAAGGTATGATTTCCTAAGATGCTATAATGATTCTGTTTTTTTTTCACATTTATGATTTAACTTAGTTAAGTCATACTATAAACTTACAGTATAGTTTTAGTAGTACATATGTACATCTCATTTCATGCAAAGAAAATTTCGGTAAATGGAAATAAAGTAAAAAGTTCAGAAAATGCAAACAGCGCCATCTATGAATAGGTACTGAGTATAAATTTATTAACTAAGAGTTTCTGTGTCAATAAATTATCAGTAAATTTGTAAAATTGTGGGACAGTTGAATTTATTTTATTTTTCTGTAATTTTGGGGTTTTGAAGAACGCTCAATTTAAATTTAGAATACCTACTATACACTTTTAACTTTTATGTCACCCAACCTTTAAATAACTAATCGATATATATACATATACTAGCGGACCCGACAGACGTTGTCCTGTCTACACGTCTTTAATTTGAAAATTTCAAACTTTTTTTAATAATTTTTTTGATGAAAATTATTATTCTAATTGTGAATCTAAACCATTCCCAGATCCCCTTGAACACACACAAAAAATTTCATCAAAATCGGTCCAGTCGTTTGAGAGAAGTTCAGTGACATACACACTCACAGAAGACTTATATATATAAAGATTACGATTGAGGCAGTGGTAACGCGCTCGCTTGGGAAACCAAGCGAAGTCGATTCAAGTCGTGGGTCTCGCACCTGTATTATTTCTATGTGCGAATCATTTCCAACCTGATTACCATTTGTCTTACGGTGAAGGAAAACATCGTGATGAAACCTGCATGTCTGAGAGAACCTGGAAAGTTTTCGAAAGACATGTGAAATCCGCCAACCCGCGCTTGGCCAGTGTGGTGGACTATGGCTTGATCCCCCTCTTATTGAAGGAAGGCGAGTGCCCAGCAGTGGGACGTTAAAAGGGCTGAATACCATTGATAACGCTGTTTATTGTTTATTTAAAGTTATTTTTATAACTTCCGGATGAGACCTTATGCTAGTAATATAACGCACTATAGTAATATATGTTCGTTCGGGTGCACTTGCTTTCCTGGGTGCATTTTGTGTTTTTATATTATAGAGGTATTGCCACCATTTAGAAAATTCAGTTCATAATACTAACCTATGTGTTAGGTACTCCAGGTTATAGTTTAGCTGAGAACTTAATTTTATCTAACACATTTTAGCCGTTAATATACACACATACAAATTTTCGCATTTATAGTGGAAATGTCTGAGTAACAACATCTTTATGTATATACCTACGCATCATGTGAGCGGGGAGCGTCGGGTGAATGTAATAGTAATATTAATTTTGCTGACTGTTTGTTTTAACCTTATTATATTTGTCCTATTTAACATTGATTTTACATATTGGGTATTTTCATATTTTTATTCATTAAGTAATGGTTTATGGTTTTTTATTTACCATGTTTAAAGTAGGCGTGGGCTAGGCCATTTTTGCACTGACATGACGCAGACGGCTTGGTCAACCTTGTAAAGATTGAATGATCTTCATACTTCAGTAGGATTTTAGGTAAGCTATGTAATGCTTGCAAAGAACGGATCGCGGTAGAATTAGTTTATCGAATTCCGATAGCTCCGAGCTACCAATATTCAATCAAACGTCAATTGGCATTATAGCTGAGTGATATAATATGAAATTTAAAACAAATGTTATGTTTCTAGATATGTATGTAAGTATATCTTATTAGATTCGTCTTTTGTTTAAAAACGAATCTCAAACTTTGGAAGAGCTTTATTTTTTTAAATCTTTATAATTTATATTAATTAATCCCTCCATGACCGCGGACACGCCGGCGTTACAGTTAACAATAGATTTCATAGAAATTTTAATTAATTTCTTAGAAATTTACCTGGAGGTGTTAAATAGGTAATCTGATAACTTTGCAGGCTTAAATTTTATTACATACAATTAATATTACATTTTTTCGTTCGTACATACATCTTTTTAACAAATTATTTGTTTGTTTTGTTAAAAACAAATGTTCACGCAATGTTTCAATCTGTATCGGTATTGTATGGTACATTGGAATTCTATATCACAAACATGACAGCTTCCTAGAACCACGTTCCTAAAACATTTACCATGTTAAATAAAATTTTTAGGAATAATAAATATTCTTCACACGTGCTGTTTGAGAAACTAAACACCATTCGTTTGGTTTTTGATGTTATATCTGCACGTGGACTGGTCGAAAGTTTTAGTTATACAGTCTTGAAAATGAGTACTTTAAATCTATAAACAACTTGACGTCTTACAACACGTTTGGCTCAGTTTGTAGTGACCCTACTTGCTGTGTCAGCGGTCGCGGGTTCGAGTTCCGATGGGGGCATTAATTTGTGCGATGGGCACGAACTTTTGTACTCCAGTCATAAGTGTTTATATTTAAAATATGTATGTATTTAAAGTAATATGTATATGTGTACTGTATCAACTACTGGCATCCATAACACAAGTCTCGTAGCTTACCATGGAACTAGATGGTGTGTGTTAATGTCCTAACACGTTTATGTAATGCTTATTTAAGTACTTTGAACTGTAATTTATAACACAAGAAAACTATGTCGTTGTTTCTTTTTTCGTTTTTTGTTTACGTCGTGCAAATTTTTTTTGTTTTTTACCTGGTAATGTATAATTTTTCCTTTTAATTAATTTGACACTAGAATAAAAACTTTTTAACAAAAAAATAAAAACTTTATATAGACGGTTAAATGTTAGATTAGATAGATAATCTTTATTGTTATTAGGTATATCTCAAACTTTTCCTATTTCAAAAGTACAGACTTAATATTAAACTTGTGACGTCTGGCCCAGCGTCTGCCTTCTGCCCGCGAGTTCGCATAACTTCCGTCGGCGACGCTCCTTTTAGGAAGGCAATTATTACGTCGCTTTCCGAACGGTTACCGGTTTTACGTTTGAATTTAATGAAGAGTGGCTTATAAATATCCAACAGAAACTCTATGATTATATATATAAATAATTGATATAAAATATGTATAAAATTAGTATTATTATTCCGTTATTTCCTTGGTTCATTATTTTTGTAATATATATAAACTAGCGACTCTACTTCCCAATAAAAACTTTCATCCCCATTATCACCCCTTAAGGGATGATAAGGATAAAAAGGAAAGGATAAAAAGTAGGTAGGTATCCTATGTCCTTCCCAGGGTCTCAAACTATCTTCTTATCAAATTTCATCTAAATCAGTTCAGTAGAACCAGAGATTTCCCCTCACAAACTCACAAACTTTACCTCTATAATATTAGTATAGATAAATTATTTTATATTATTAGCTACAGTTATGATCGAGTTAAAACCATGGCAATTTGAGTCTCTGTCTCTGATCTGTCTCTAGTTTTTACTAGCTATTCTTTGGATCGCGTTGAAACAACATATGCGTAACCTTCATATATTAAAACTAGCATTGCCCGCAGCTACGCCCGCGTTCAGATGACCAAAAACCAAATTCTTAGGTTTTACATATTAGTATACTCTTACACTGCAGTTTTTGTATTTTTTCTCAAAAATGAGACATTTTCCCGCGGTAAAAAGTATCCTATATGTTGACCCGGATAACCAGCTATCGCCATACCAAGTTTTATCAAAACCCTCCAGTGTTTTTTCTGTAATGCGGTAGCAGACAGACAGACAGACAAAAATTCTAAAAACTATAGATTCGGCCTCTGTATCGATAATAACGTTTATTTCTATAAGATTTTGCAAAAAATATTTTATGTACAGATTCGGCTTAGTTACAATTTTATTATATGTAATAGTTATGTTGTAGGGTTTTGTGCAGTACAATATTTACCGAGGAGCATTGTTTTAAGTTTAGTTGTACTAATTTCATTGTCATATTTTTTTCAAACATTAGTCGCTAAAATATGTAGTAGAATAAAAGGTACTATTTACATACAGAAAAATAAAATGATTACTGCGAAATAGCATTTGAAAATATGTCATGGTGAAACAAACATTAATTTCATATATAATAATTAAAAGAAAAATAATGTATGAACTGTCTGTCTCTATAAAATATCAGAAAAATGTAAAGTTTTCTTAATACATAAATACCTTGAAATTGTATTATATATTAACAAGAATTTAGTATATTTACGAAGTTTCCTCTGTTTACAGGACGAAGAATCATTAGATTCGAGTCGACCGGTGGCGAACATCACTCACCACAGCATAATGTACGCGCCCAAGTGCCTGGTCATCGTTTCGCGGCAAGACTACATCGATACATTCCGGGTAAGATTTATTTTGCGGTGGTTTTTTTTTTATAAATATCGATAGTTGATATTGTTATTAAAATTTTAAATTATGTAGTTATGTAAGTTATTATTATGATTGTAGATTTTCACCGAAATCTGATCAGTAGCTTTTGCACTAAAGAATAACAAATATCCATACGCACTAACTTTCGTCCCATTTATAATATTAGTATAAAATTACGTCTTGTAATATTTTTCAGAATTGCCTCGGCATAATCTACACGGTGTGGGTTGAAAATCTCGGTGTGCCATTGGAGACGTTAGTTGGTAACCTTTTAGGCTGTGTCCTGGTCCCCCCGGCCGGCGGGCCGCAAGTGCGTTTCAGTATCGGCGCAGGGGACCGCCAGGCGCTGCAGCCGCCAGCCGCGCCGCCCATGCCGGTCACTCACACAGCTGTCCATATGCTCTTGAGGTTGCTAGGTAAGCCAGTTTTAATGTCAACCAAAAATATCTATATACTACAATCTACATTCTACACCATTACCTACACCATATAATGTCATTAAATTGTTTTTTGTGTAAGACATGACATACAGACAGACATTTTATTCTTTTTAATCTCTAAATCCCTAAACACCGGCGTTACAGTTAACAATAGACTTCTTAGAAATTAAATTCATTTCTTAGAAATTTACCTGGAGGTGCTAAAAAGTTACACTTCAAAATTGCTTTAAGCGTTATTATTTCAGTTTTAATTAAGGTGTTATTAGTTAATTTTAAACTTTGTGCAGTAATAAAGGTTTATTTTATTTTTATTTTATTATTTTAGTTTTAAGAGTGAAAATTTATTTTGTAATCGATATTAGTGGTTTAATATAGATGTCAAGATAAGATTCCACCCTTAAGGTAAAACAATTTAATTGAAACAAAAATAATAATAATATGGAAACCGGTCTAGAATTATAATTAAAAATTTTATCGCGTAAACAACCTTCTTTTTTATGTAGGGATATGAAAGATGGACACTTTTATCCAAAACAATATATGCTCTAGAGTTGGAAAAACTGGTATGATTGTTACCAGCATTCTCTCCCAGACTTTTGCCAAAAAGTATTTATCGAGAAAAAGATGGAAGATCACGCAATATGTTTTTGTTATTTGGGTACTGTTATTTGTTTAAATAAAATATTAAAATTCCAGGTATCCACAATTCAATAACACTATGGTGTGCGGTGATGAGCGAACACAAAGTACTTTTAGTATCATTAGCGGCGGCCCGTCTGTCTGCTGCTTGTAGGGCGCTAGCAGCGTTAATGTTCCCGTTTAGATATGCACACGTATACATACCGTTGTTACCAGCTGGTCTAGCAGAGGTTCTGGCGACTCCCACTCCCTTTTTGATAGGGGTTCATTCTAGTTTGAAGGAAGAAGTGTCGGAATTGGTGAGTTCTTTGGTGTTTTAAAGTGTTTATTGACATTATGTACTTTTGAATAGGATTCTCGTGTAAAATAATCAAATTCCATGGTAAAACTGATTTTAAGTGCTAGTAGAGCATTGGGACAAACTCCGTTTCATACAATTATTTTTATTATTAAAATATTGTATATATTTTTAATTAACGTGCAATTTGGGATCTCATCATTAAATAACAATTTATAATGTATAATATGCATTTCTTATTCCAGTTGGACGTCATAGTGGCAGATCTAGATGTAGGCTCCCTCCACATACCAGCAGGAGTTAACATCCCTCGTCCAGAAGGCAAACTATTATCATCCCTACAAGAAGCCCTAGCATTAGTTCTACAGCCGGAACTCAAGTCGGCGGACTCGGCCTTCGCCCCGCCCCCGCCATCCTCCTCACCACCACATATGATGGATAAGGAGATACGAGCGGTCTTCATGAGGACATTGGCCAAATTGTTGCAAGGTTATAGGTTGGTTAGGATATTTTACTAAATATATTTGTGTTTGTTTGTTTGAAATTATGTTATTTTATGAATTTCGTTCGATTTTGTTTTTACTCCTTAGTAATATTATGAAGACGACTTTTGTTGTCTCTTGTTTTTTTCATATATAATGGACCCCTAAATGCGGTAAAAAAAGATTGAGCCCGTAGAGTATTAGTAGGTATATTATGGTAAAAATTAACTTAAACTCTATAATGAATTATTTAGAATGAAATAGTACTTGTAAATCCAAAATTAACAAAAAAAAACTAACTTTTGCTATGGAAAGTAATTTTTAAAATTTAATTTTGATCTATTTCCATTTCCAGGCACTGTCTCACAATAATTAGGATACACCCGTCCCCAGTCCTGACATTCCATAAGGCTGGTTTTTTAGGAGCGCGGGGGCTCTCTCAGTGCCCCTTCGCAGTCAGGCTACTGGACTCCATGTTCTTCAATGGGCTAGTCGCTGAGAGGGGCCCTCCCTGGCGACCCACTGATATATGGGATGAACTAGTTCAGTATGTACATCTATAACTTCTTTCTTTTTTAGTGTTGTTTTTACGTATAATAGGCTTAAAAAGGATTATTGCCTTTTTAGATTATTTAGAATTTTATATTCTAGTATATCAATCAAAGAAATCGACCGATTTTTCTTTTTTTCTTATTTTTAATATGTGTGCAAAGTGAAAGCAATATATAACTTTATTATGTATATTTACACTTTTTTTACTTAATACTCTAAACTAAATTTCGCCATTTTTTAGAAATCTTCCAGAGCAGATGAGGCTGGAATCTTTGAACAATGAGTTGGAATTAGAACACATACAGGAACTGGCAATACAGTTACATCTCAATGAAAATCCAAATCCACAAGTGAGTATTAATTGCTAGGTAAACAAAATGTTTTCAACATTACATAAAAGACAACATTTTTGCCCTGCCATTTGAAACAAAAATCGTCTGTGGTGCCGAATGAATTTAAAATATTTTTCCTTGTAATATATAAATAAATAAATATTAAGTACTTTTTAACTAGCCTATGTGTTAGTACAGCTCTCTGCGTACTGAATTTCATTCAAAATTGTTTAACCATTTCAATATGAGGGAGCATCAAACATACACACTCAAATTTTAGCATTTATAACTAATAGCAGTCCGACGGTTCCCAGGGCGTGTCCACGCAGACGTACTCGCAGCGCGTGCTGCGGCCGCCGGAGGGCGCGTCGGCGCGCATCCACCAGCCGCCGCTGCCGGCGCTGGACGCGGCGCGCGTGCACGCCGTCATTGAGGAGGTCACGGCGCGGAACGCGAACAACCCCAAGTGAGTGCAGCGCTGTACAGCGCTTTGTGGGGTGTTTGGTTTAAGTATATAGAAATGTTTTTATGTAGTTTTTAATTAGAATTTTATATCCTAATAGCTATATCTACAAATACAAAAATATTGAAATGAAATAAATTTTATCCAATTAGACTCATTACAAGTACTATTGGGTTAAGATTCAGTGCTGTTGAAGATTTTTTGTTTATGCTATTTACTAAATTAAGACCGCGACTTCATTCAAGATTATTCCTATCTGGTTAAGATTAAATATTATGGCATAAGATGGCATATGTATTCCATAGAAATAATTGCAAAAATTAAATAAATAATGTTTTTATTAAAAATAAATAAAGATAAATTTATAAGCATATAAAATTGCGTTAAAAGTTTATAAGTATATAATTAGACTTTTTAACGTGCCACACACGGACTCGGACCTATTGTAGTTATGTTTTCTTGATATGTATTTTTGAATTTATTCTACTTTTGGAATGATATCAGGTTATCAGCCCTACGCCTGCCGGCGCCTAGGATCATCCCACCCGGCGCGCCGCCCACCGGCGCCGCGGAGCACACGCAGCTGCTTCTAACTAACTCTGCTAGACGACTCGAGGTTATTTATTATTTATTGATTACTTATTACATTATTTATGTTTGCTATAAGGAAATCTATATTTGAGTTAGATTTTAATTTTTTTACTTTATTGCATTATTAAAAAATCAAAATTATTATTGATTCGATGGTTAGCAAGAATATTTAAAGCAATATGGATTGTTCGAATATAACTCCACTATAGTAAAATATTAGTGTACATGCGTGTTATTTACATAAAGGTGACACTTTTTTTATAATCTTATTGTTTTTGAATTAAGCCTATATTAATATTAACTGCCTCGGTGGTGTAGTGGCTAGCATGTACGGCTGCACACCCGGAGGTCCTGGGTTCGAGTCCCGGGTCGGGCCAAGTTTAGTTATTGAGTCTTCCTGTATAGTAAGTCTCAGTAACAGCCCGGAGTTGGGAAGTTGGCGGTGTTTCACCCCCGTGCCTCGGAGAGCACGTAAAGCTGTCGGTCCTGCGCCTTAACTCTCACCGGTCGTGTCGAGTGGTCGTCCCACCGGAGTATGAGAGTGATAGGAATAGAGAGTGCACTAGTGTCTGCGCGTACACTTGAGCACTATAATATCTCCTGCGCAGTTGGCTAATCTCATTGAGATTGGCCGCCGTGGCCGGAATCGGCTAGGAGAACATCATCATATCAATATTTTTTAATATAATTTCTTTTTGATTAAAAAAATGATTTTTAAAAGGAGGGAAATTCAAAGTAGTTGAAACACACGCCATTGGTCAGACCGAATATGATGTCAAAGTATTATCACAACAGAGCGATAAGCGATTTTGTCGCTACAAACTAAAGTCGTCATTTTTCTATGTTTAATAAGTTGACGTAACGTCAAAATGGCGGGCGTTTAGAGTATCAGTATCGGTATGATATAAAAAAATATATTAATTTTAGTTTCTTGGAAATGGGTATTTTTTTTACAATTGTATAACGATGTTAGCTATTGTATAAAAAATTAAAAAAAAATCACGCATATTCCCTATTATCGTTTAAATTTTACACACAAATAAGTGCCAAATTGATGCAACAGCTAGATATAAGTTTAAATCGACTTTGAAGACTTGGAACTTTTAACTACTTTTGTAAAGGTATTTTTGCAAGTGAAGCTAATAAAATTATGTTAAAATAATAATAATCGTCTTTTGATCGATTCGGCTGCGATATTATATTGTACATGTATATGCGCAAATGCAACTTGCACTCTGTTCATCTTTGTTTTTAATTGTGGATTTTCAAAATTTCTTTACAGGAAATCCAATAACTATACTTGGCTAGGAACTCAAATTTAGGACTTTTGTGTCTGTAGCCAGACATGATGATGATGATGTTCTCCTAGCCGATTCCGGCCACGGCGGCCAATCTCAATGAGATTAGCCAACTGCGCAGGAGATATTATAGTGCTCAAGTGTACGCGCAGACACAAGTGCACTCTCTATTCCTATCACTCTCATACTCCCGGTGGGACGACCACTCGACACGACCGGTGAGAGTGTCGGCGCAGGACCGACGGCTTTACGTGCTCTGCCTCGGCACGGGGGTGAAACACCGCCAACTTCCCAACTCCGGGCTGTTACTGAGACTTACTATACAGGAAGACTCAATAACTAAACTTGGCCCGACCCGGGACTCGAACGCAGGACCTCCGGGTGTGCAGCCGTACATGCTAGCCACTACACCACCGAGGCAGTAATACTAGCTACTAGACCACCGAGTCTGTTCGAATCAATCGAATTCAATCGAAAATTGTTTTTAATTTATTTCATAGATGACAATCATTTTCAACTAATATCTCATACATAGTATTTAAGTCATAATAGCCGTATCGGAATAGTGTTAAAATAATCCCCCATGGTACGGGCACGGGCAGGTGCTGCGGTCGTGCATCGCGGCCATCTTCGAGTGCCGCTACGCGGACGCGCGCAAGTCGCTGCCGGGCGTGGTGCGGGCGCTGCGGGCGCCGGCCGCGCGCGCCGCGCTCGTGCGCGACCTGGCCGCGCGCCTGCCCACCAACAAGCACCTGCTGCAGCCGCACCAGTTCGAGCTGGTCGTCAGGTGACCTACACATACTTACTGCACACTTTGTGCTCGTCTATTATATAGGATGCCAGTATTATTATTTTTTTGTAAAGAAAAACAGTAGTTCATCAGTTCGAACTGGTCGTGAAGTAACATGCTCGTGCTTACTCTTTGTGCTATGGGTTGTGGTTGTGAATTAAATAAGATGGCAAAAAAATTTTCCTTACAAATATAAAATGAGTTTAAGCTGGCTATCAGGTATATATATTTTCGTGCAGAGAAAAAAAAATGAAAATATTTTTTTATCTCTAATTTTCTTCACAGTTATAATTAATAGCCATATAAAGCAGCTGGCCATATAAACAGCTATTTATACTAATATTATAAAGAGGCTGAGTTTATTTGTTTGTTTGTATGTTTATTTAAACGGGTGAAACCGCGGGGCACAGCTAGTATATTAACATTATGATTACTTTATTTAAGCCTTCGTATCATGGCATGACTTTTTCGAAATACAAATTATCCGTATATGAACTAGTCCGAATTTATTGTTTTTACAGGAATGACCTAGCTTTCTATCCTGAAACTTTTGATTCAATATTATAATATAACAGCCTCTTTTATTTATAATCCAATTCTGCATATATTTAATGTTTTAATTCTTCCTTTAATAACCACATATCCTAATTCTTAACGCTCAGTTTTGATTGAGGGATAAAAATAAAAAGTTTTATATTTTGTAACAGCTATTTACTTTATACAGGTATTAACATAATGTTGTTACTATTCTACAATAAAATCTTTCTGTTTATTTCAATATGTATCTTGGTTATATATTATTCGTCATCTTCGTCTTCATCACAAAAATTACCATCTTCAAACTTATTGAACTCTAAAACAAGTCTTACACACCCAACCTTCACATTACCTTGCACTAAGAAGCCGCTAGCTTCGAACTTTCCATACGGCGCTTCCCGCGGCAGCTGGCAGTAGTTCACTACATAATCGTTTATTTCGTATTCACCCTTAAAATATATTGAATATTTAAATATTAAAGCCTTTGAACTTAAAAAAATCAGTAAAGGACATACTTTGACGTCGACGATACATTTGGCTCAGGTTTGAAGTGACCCTATTTGCTGTGCCAGCGATTGCGGGTTTGATTCCCGCTGAGGTCATTTATTTGTGGGATGAGCACCAATGTTTGTACTCTAGTCATGGATGTTTATATTTATAATATGTATGTACTTAAAGTTACATACGTGTAGTGTATCAACTATCTGGTATCCATAACACGCCTCGTAGCTTACCATGGAACTAGATGGTGCTGTGTGTTAATGTCTCCAACATATTTACTTTAATGTATGCCTGGGATTTGTCAAAATTTATTTAACATGACCACAAACTACTGACTTAAATTGTATGTTTTTCCTTTTTGTAGCAAATGGACTATGAATTTTTATCTAATTCCGGAATCGAAACTGCGGTCTCGGGCATTATATGAAAAATAATCAGGATCCCATCCCATCACTTGTTCCACGACGGTCACTTTTATATTTAAATTAATATTTAATTCAAAGAGCAATTTTGATTGAATTATTTCTCAATACATATACGTATTTCTTATAGTATGGTTGCCATTGGTAGCCCAGCAATAACGCGCTTGCTTTAGAATCTGAGTGCAGTGGGTTCAAATCTCGGGTCAAAAATACATTGATATTTTCGTGTGCGATTCATTTCCAACGTGATTTCCATTTGTATTACGGTTAAGGAAAAACATTGTGAGGAAACCTGCATGTTTAAGAGAGCCAGGTTTTCGAAAGACATGTAAAGTCCGCCAATTGCTTTTTGTTTATTGATTTTAAAGGAGATTCAAATTATTATTTCAGTTTAAATTAAAAATAAATCAAATAAATACTTAAAATTATTAAATAATTTTGATTGCTTTACTTGAGGAATAGGAAACTCGGGCGGGTCAATGTTTGCGAATCCAAGCACGTCGGCGACCATGTCCTTTGCGTACTTCTCGAGCATGCTCACTACGCTGTTGTCAGATATTAATTGATATTGTTTGCATCCACCGTCCACGTACTTACACACATCTATTAATACCTAAAAAAAAAAAAAAAAACGTCTCCACTGTCAATTTGGTAGTTATTAAGTGCTTTTTTGGTCATTAATTCCTTTTTGCAGGACTATTACATATAATTTGCTATTAAATAGCAGCTATTTTAAATGTATAATAGCATATTTTCTAATGTTAGAAATTAGAGAGAGAGAGCAGAATCGAACGTTTTTAGATGGTTAGCCGGTTTTTGTAATCGTGCGTCGTTTGAAAATTACTCGTTGAATTTAGATGGACCTTTTTAAAACATCACTGCTCACTGTTTTACGCGGGAATACAAAACTAAGGTCGTGTTGGGTGATTTATAGCCTAAGAAAAATTAATTAGAACACATATTTAGTAAGAATTACTACACTTTTTATATTCAAATGTATATTAAAAATACATTGTAATAATACAGCAGATAATTGAGTAACAGAATTAAAAACCTTACTCCATAATTATCATCGATCTTAGCAATAGCTTTAAGCTTGGCGGAGACACCGTCGTGTGTACGGTTCAATTTGTGCTTGGTGAGCTGGATTTGTATATCCTCCTGTACCAGCGGCTCAGTGCACTCGATAACGCTGATCAGTGACCAGATGCCTGGGCCCTGTAGAATTGTCAATAACAGTAAAAACGTTCTTCTGACCATTTTGGTTACCGGCTTATCTCACTTAGACACGCCATATGTGCGGTAGTTATTATAGGACAAGTCTTTAGTGGTGAGTGCACATACATCTTCCACATCCCCAGTTCTGTGCGACTATTATATGAAACTCGTCAAGAGATATCATGCGCAATGGCTTGCCTCGGCATGAAAGTATAACGCCGTCAATTTCCTAATTCTGCCCTGCTACTGAAATACTTCTTGATGGAATAATCCATTACTTATAATTGGCCCGGCCTGAGTCTGAGACCTAGTCATCTGCAGCCGCAGATGCAGACCAGTGACTGATGTCTAGAATCTCTACTCTAGATCAATAAGTCAGTTAAATCAAGTAATAATAATTAAGGGCGTTTTAACTATGAAATTGCTAATTAAGAAGATTAAAAATCAAAAGGTCTTCCTTACCAACATGTCGTCAGCTTGAACACCAAATAGTAAAATTGTGAAAAAATATGACAATATTGGTTTCAACATGTTGATATCTGATATAAAAATTCTGTTCTAACATAAAATACGTCGGCACTCACGTTATTATAAGTACGGTATTATTATTCGTCATAACGTGACACATTGCCATTAATTGTTGAATAGAGATTTTATCTGTGGTCAAATACAGTTAAAATTTTATGTTTTGCTTTAAGGGTATGAATTATTCTAAATATTTTTATTCAGCGTTAAATTATTACATTTTTTTACTGAACGTCATGAGCCTACTACCATTTTGGACAGGATAAGTTCTAATCCTTGAGAACTGTTGATAAAATCAGCGGGATTAAGATTTTTGTTAAAAAAATATATAAACTTGTATATAATCTCTTAACAGCGAAGGTAACAATTTCCACGTCGACTTCTATAAAATTATTCATACTATATATTATGAATAATTTTGAGTACACAATTTTTTTTTACATTTTTAGCAGTAAAAGCTTTTTGAAGCTTTTCTGTGTATTAATATTTTAATACGCTCTCACAAATCTTTTAATTAAATTTAATAAAATAATGTTAGTGTTTCTTAAGTTGATTTGAGATTGCTTTATTGTCAATCTCATCTATCTCATATTTTATATTGTCTATTTTTTTTTTGTGTTGCAACAATAATTATTAATGTTTAATTTATTTATATATATGATGTATATCTATAGGATGTATACTGTATAGCTTTAATACACGTATAGTTCCGGTGTATTGCATTTCCCTAACATGGCGTGTCTTGTGTTACATTTACATTTGATAATGACTTTGACCTTGACACATGAGTAGCATTTCCTGTTTTAGTAATGTATACAAAACAAATATATTTACATTACTAGCATTGCCCGCGGCTCCACCCGCGTTCAGATGATCAAAAACCAAATTCTTAGGTTTTACATATTAGTATACTCTTACATTGCAGTTTTTGTATTTTTTCTCAGAAATGAGACATTTTGCCGCGGTAAAAAGTATCCTATATGTTGACCCGGATACCCAGCTATCACCATACCGAATTTCATCAGAATCTCTCCAGTGGTTTTTCCGTGATGCGGTAACAGACAGACAGACAGAGCTATCACCATACCAAATTTCATCAAAATCCCTCCAGTGGTTTTTCCGTGATGCGGTAACACACAGACAGACAGACAGACAGACAGACAGACAGACAGACAGACAGACAGACAGACAGACAGACAGACAGACAGACAAAAATTCTAAAAGCTATAGATTCGGCCTCTGTATCGATAATAATGTCTATTTCAATAATATTTTCCAAAAAAATATTTAATGTACAGATTCGGCTTAGTTAGAATTTTATTATATGTATAGATTTATATTTATTTGTACATATATGTTTTTTATGTATATATTTACTTTTAAAATTTACACGAAATGAGCTTTCGTTGAATCTCTTAATCTAAGTCTTTTTGTATCAATAGTAACTTTTGTTGATACTAAAAATTGTATCTTTGCAGGTTAATGAACTGTACGTTGCAGTCGGCGAGTGCTTTGGACGAGCACTCCATAGCGGCGGCCATCCTGCCGCTCGCCACCGCGTACTGCAGGAAGCTGTGCACCGGCGTCATACAGTATGCGTACATGTGTATACAGGTGACTGTTGTTTTATTGTATACTCATACGAGTACTATAGTTTTAGTTATTTTTAATTTTATGTGATAATAATAATAAGTAAAATTATAAAAACGTCAATAATTAAAATGGAGTAACAATTAACAATATAACAAAATTAAATTTAACAATATTTGTCGTCAGGAGCATCAAGTGTGGACGAGCCAGCAGTTCTGGGAGGCGGCCTTCTACCAAGAGGTGCAGCGCGACATCAAGGCGCTGTACCTGCCCAGCCCCACTCACCACCACAGGATGCCTAGTCCTAGGTCTGTTGTTATTTTCTAACTTATACATTACTTTGAGATTTTCAAACTATTTTATATGTATATGTATAGCAAAATTCCCTATATTTCATTAGGGTTTACGCACGTGTAATTTTAGTTACCTTTTGCTTAACTGATTTTGTGAATGCAATTTGTAATCATCATACGTAACGTACACATAACATATTTATGGTATAACTTTATACAATATTTTAAATGTATGATTTTAGGGAGGACGATGAATACATATCGTTATTAAAAGCACAAGAGCCTAGTGCACTGGAGATAGCCGCGGAACAGATGAGGCTGTGGCCTACTCTACCTCAAGGTTAGCTTTAGTCATATTTATATTTAATTTTATTTAAATACATATTTAAGTAAGATGTCTTATTATAGTCTGATTTATTTAAATAACAACTTTTGACCAGCGTGGTGGAATATGGTCCGATTTGCTGAGCATTGTAGGGAAGCCTATGCCAAGCACTGGGACGTTAAAAGGGCTGAAAAAGTAAAAAAACGACTAATTATAATGTATGGGTTTACCAAAACGAACAAATAAGCATAATCTGAAATGCCTGTGATTTAGCCTGATAAATATGTATTATATAGTGTCTAATTTAAATCAAATTTTAACAAAAATAGACGCGTGTGTGTAATAATTATGTACACACGTAAGAATTTATACTTTGCGTAACAGAACAAAAATAGCTAAAGATTTCATCCCGTATGTCACAACTCTTTGTTTGTAGAAGGAATGCAGCTAACCCATCATGTCACTTTCAGCTAACTTCATCATGTCGCTTTTTAGCTGTCGGTGTGCGCGCGCATCGTAAAGATTTTACTCTCATATTTTTTTCCAAACATGCCAAAAAAAAGTATAACTGTAATAAACACAACAATTCCACCTTAGAAAAGCAACGCGAGCTGATCTCGAGCGAGGAGTCGACGCTGTACAGCCAGGCCATCCACTACGCCAACCGCATGGTGTACCTGCTGCTGCCGCTCGAGGGCGCGGGCCGGCGCGCCGACGCGCGCGGCGACGACGACCGCGCCAGCAACAGCATCACTAACAGGTAAACAAATAAATATGTTGGGACATTAACACACACCACCGTCTAGTTCCATGGTAAGCTACGAGACTTGTGTTATGGATACCAGATAGTTGATACACTACACATACACATATTATAAATATAAACAGCCATGACTGGAGTACAAACACTCGTGCTCATCAGACAAATGAATATCCTCAGCGGGAATCGAACCCGCGACCGATGGCAAGCAAATAAGGTCACTACAAACTGAGCCATACGTGTCGTCATAGGTAACACCAGTCTTATTGACATGATAACGTGTTATAAATCGATGTACGCCGGCTGCACGCACGAAAGAGTGTCACGTTCCGCCTGAGCCGAGCGCGCGAGCGAGAGAGAGGCACGGTCGGCCTAACTTGTTAATAGCACATTGGTACTTGTAATTAATCTGTATAATTTAAATAAAAATATATTTGAATTAACGAGTGCAAATAAATGTTAATTTATTGAAAAAAAAATGTAATTTTCAATTAATTAATTCTTTGTATTATACAAAATATTGATAATTCATTGATAATAATTCAATGTTTTCATATGGCGTTATCACGTAAAATTATCGCCCGTAAACCGACTTTGAAGAAAACCATTTTTTTTCTTTTTCTTTTCGCTGGGAAATTACCTTATAATTAATTATATATAATTACTTTACCTTATTGTCCGTCAATACTTTGTTGGACTGTCTCGCTGGTCTAGTGGCTAGCATGTATGGCTGCAGATGCGAAGGTCCTGGGTTCAAGTCTCAAGTCGAGTCAGATGTAGTTTGGGGTGGTTTCTATCAAGAAATCCACATTTAATTATTTTTTTTATTTATTTTAGTGTGGCGGAATCAGACAGTGCAGATGCGGAGTCGGGTTTCGAGGAAGCAGACCCGGGAGAAGCTGGCAATAATGTCATTAAGATGGTGTCCAGATTTGTAGATAAAGTATGATTTATTTTGTAAAATTTTATATGCAACCTTAACTTACATTATTTTACTATAATTAGTATAATGAAAAACGACTACTTACTTTTAAATATATTTCCTTATATTTGATTCACTTATATAAATAAACGTTAGCGACTCACCCTCGCTTCGCTGAATCCTCATACAAATTTTCATCCCCATTTAATCATTCCTCTTATAATATTTCTATAGATCAATAAATTTCTTTCGAAATTAGCATAATAATCTTGAAAACTATCATTTTTACTATATCATATAGAAAAATTGATAAAAATGTATTATTATTATTTTCTCACCCAGGTGTGCACAGAAGGCGGGGTGACAGCGGAGCACGTGCGCTGCCTGCACCAGATGATCCCGGGCGTGGTGCACATGCACCTGGAGACGCTGGACGCGGTGGCCAGGGAGAGTCGGAGACTGCCGCCTGTACAAAAAGTGAGATTTTGTAGAAATTAATTCATACATTTCATCCAATGATATTTATTTCATCTTTAGTATTATATGTTTTAAGTATTCCATTTTATGTGTATATTTTATTTCTTGTGTGTATATTATGTAATATCTTCGCCAATAGGAAATATGCGTATCAGACTACTATTATAAATTCACAAATTTGTCTATAATGTATGTTTGTCACTCGTTCTTGCCTAAATAACGAACGATTTGGATGAACTTAATACATATGTAGATAGAATATGACCTGGAATAACACCCAGGCCACTGTGTTACTTAACATACTGCTAGATACCATAAGGATAAGCCTAATAAATTGTTCCAAATATTTATCGATACTTTTTCTAATATTGATCGATGAAACATTATGTCTACAATTATTTTATTCGCGTATTATTTTTAAAACGATATTATGTATTTTATACAACATGATATACCTGTCCCCCCTGCAGCCGCGTATCGCGTGGCCGGCGCTGGTGGCGGGCGAGGCGGCGGCGGGCGCGGCGCTGCGCGCGCTGCTGCTGGCGGACGGGCGCGGCGCGGCGCTGTCGCAGCTGCTGCCCGCCGAGGGCGCACTGTTCCTCACCAACTATAGACTGCTCTTCAAAGGAGTGCCAATGGATCCGTATGGTAGGGGATGTTTTTTTAGTTTATTTTTGCGGTACTTTAGTGCGTAAGAGATCCTGCGATTGGTAATCAAAATCGTTTAAATAATAGATTCACATACTTTAATGTTAGCGTTTTCCCGCGGCATCGCCCACGTACATCAATCATGAATTACTATACATATCTTTAAAAATTATAACCTCACTATTACTCACCTATATTACTGTATAGTTTCATCAAAATCCATTCAGTATTTGTTGCATCAAAGAGTAACAAAACACATCCACACACATATATTCTTTCAAACTTGCTTTATTTCTAATTAGTGAGATTTTCAAAAACTGGGAAATTACAGTAAACAATGAAATTCTCAATAGTATAACATTACATACTCGATATATGCAAATAATATTTTTTTTTAAATAAATGAGTATAGAATAATAATTGGTATTCATATACATACATACCTTTGTCCGTAGCGTGTGAAGCGACCGTGGTGCGGTCGTTCCCGCTGAGCGCGCTGACGCGCGAGAAGGGCGTGCGCGCGGCGCACGCGCAGCTCGACCACGTGCTGCACGACGGCCTGCAGCTGCGCGCGGCCACCTTCCAGCTGATCAAGGTATTTGGCTTATGAATTTGGTTGTTTTGTTTTACACTTGCTTTTATATTGTTATTATTTATAAACAATATAACTTATTAATTGTATAATAGGACTCTGCTTTGTTTTGTATATATTTTATTAACTATATAAATGCTATTTCAAAAGATATTATTTTATAATAATTTACATTATTATATATTTATTATTAATATTACAAACTTAATGTTTGCATGTATGTGTGTTTGTAAGTTTGAATGTATAAAATTTGTGATTAATCTCTGAAACTACTTATCCATACTGAATAGTCTATGTAGTCCTAAGTAATGATAAATTAAAGTAAGCTACAATTTTACCATTGAGTGCTACCCGATAAAAATCATAATAATTTAAATTGAAGTCGGGGAAAAACTGGTCGTTGCGTTGTTTTATCAACGGGCGCTGTCTAAACGGTTTGGAATAAAGCAATAAAAGATAAGACATTGATGTCTCCGTGCCATGTCTTTTACCTAGGGACGTGAAGTTGCTAGTAAATAATAAACTACTAATATAACTGTTTAAATACAAAAAAGGTTATAATATTATGTTGATAGTGATGTGTCTGTCATGCACATATCAGGTGGCGCTGGACGAGGAGGTGACGAGCGAGCAGGCGGAGGCGTTCCGCAAGGCGGTCGCGCGCCTGCGCCACCCGCAGCACCCGCTACTGCACTTCGCGCTGGCGCCGCGCGCGCCGCCGCCCGCCGACCTCGCCGCGCCCAAGCACTACACGCTCAAGTCGGTACACGCACATACACATACACACACACACACACACACACACACACACACACACACACGCACACGCACACGCACACGCACACACACAACACGCATACACACACGCACACATGCGTATATGTATATCGTACATACATACAAAGCAGGCATACATATACACATACATTTGTTATATTAATAGGTTATATTTGTATAAATAAATTAATTTTGCAGGAAAATACATGTATTTATATTGTTATGAGTATATTTTTGGTATTTTTTTTATGAAATGCTTATTGAAAGTATTTTGAGCTTTTGAGTTCATCTTCAAATTGTGAATCTTTCTTGTCGTTATTTTTTATAGTACTTATAAAATGTCCTAAATTTACTAAAATGAATAATGAAAATAATTAAAAAATGAATATTGCACTCTGTGCATTGCTTTATACACATTATAATTTTTTTTACTAAAATAAAAAATGTTTCCATTGACCAACATTAGTTAATATCTTGAATATTTCTACAACAAGTATTATTTTTTGTTTCATAGAGGATTCGCCAAGAAGACCTTGCTAAAGACCGCGCGCCGAGCGGGCCTCAAGCCGAAGCCGTCCAAGCGGCAGAAGTACGTGCTGCCGTCGGCCGACGCGCGCTCGCTCACGTCCCCGCCGCTCATGTCTTCCTTGTCAGCTGATACTTTGTCATGTGTGTATTCTTACTAATATTATAAATGTAAAAGTTTGTTTGTTTGTCCTTCTTTCACGTCGAAACGGAGCGACGAATTGGCGTGATTTTTTGTGTGGTGATAGTTGGAGGACTGGAGAGTGTCATAGGCTACTTTACCGCGGGAGATTATCTAATGCTCACGGGAAAACACGTTATAATACAATCCAAAAAAATATATTTATGATCAGAATTACTTGAAACTTGGTATTAATGTTCTTCAATACAATTAAATAAATACATGTTTTACCATTTTTCTAAATTCATCCTATATAGGGGTTAAAACAAGGGATGAAAGGTTGTATGAAATCTAGCTTTTTAGAGATTTTTTTGTAGTTTTAGAGCGAGCGAAGCGGCGGCTTCTGCTAGTATTGTATATATGTATTTTTACTAACGACTTGCCCTAGGTGCGCTCGGGTCTTATTGGCAAATTTTTATTACTAATCTCTGATAGTAAGTTGCCTTTGTGCTACTTCAGATATAGTCTATCTGGATATTAAAGGGTGTACCGTGTAGCCGGATAAGTATAGCGAAACGAACCAAATGACGATCTATTTTAAAACTTATGTTTCAAATTGTTTCAATGTCGTACTCTGCTTTGATTTTGAGGTATAAAAAAATATATGGGCGTATGATTGTCGTTTAAATTGATATCTCGGAAACCTTAAAAGTTAAAAACCAAGTTAAGTTGCTTGCGTATATTATAATATATTAAACACAGTGATTATGGATAATGTAATACATCCTTTATTGAACCTGTATCCTCTGTCCCAATAAGCAAAGTTAACGTACATATTATATGTTTTTTTATTCGAGTATTTGCAGTCTTCACTTAAAAGCAGATGTGAAATGTAAGTAAGAAAAACGAATTAATTTCACCCAGTGGAGGAGCTGGAGCTGAACGGCGGCGGCGTGCCGGAGAGCGCGGAGAGCACGAGCTCGCGGTCGCTGGAGCGCGTGCGCGAGCGCGTGTACGCGCGCGACTGGGCGCGCGTGGGGCTCGCCGCGCCGCCCTTCCGGCTCTCCCACGCCAACGCTCTGTACACGCTGTGCAGGAGGTAGGTGTTGTATACTATAATACTATATAGATATGTCAAATAGTGACTTAACTGTGATGTAACATGTAAAAGAACTTGTTTCTTTTTTTAAATAAGTTGAAAAAAAACATGAATAAAAACTTTGTAACTTTTTTTTTGTAATTATGGTTTTTTTTCACAATATATAAGAAATTAAATGTTTTATTAAAGTATGTTTTCTAATTTCTTACATTTTACTAAAATTACAAATCAAATGATGAATGAATCAATTAAATAAAAAATTATTCTTCTTCTGTGTCAATGTCTGTACCACTTTCAGTATCAGTGCCGCTTAGACCAGTGTTGTCCTTAACGGTGTGGAAATTTAACATATAAGCTTGGTACTGTTTAACCAAATATGTATAGTAGGTTTAAAAATAAACAAAATACTGTATATGAACTCTTTAAGGATTAATATTTTATAGAAACCACCTGAACGACCTTGAATTCTGTACTCTTAAAAAAACATGCTCCAGAATAAAAAACGCGTTTTTTCATGTTTTTCCTTTTGAGTTTTTTTTCACGTTAGAAAAAAACTGTTTTCTTGCACTAGAATTAACCCGTGAAAAAAGTGAGCATCCTTATGTACCAAACAGCATCATATGTGTTATTCGAGATCATGTCGGGAACAAAATATTTTAGCATATACTACGTACGCATTAAGTCCCGTTGTATTATTAACACGCTCATATTAGCTTCACCTGTAACTAAGAATGTAATCAAATCTTGTATATTTTAATCTATTTTTATGATAACGAAACTTTGTATGTATATTTAGATCTAGATGACAATACTATAATTATTAGGTGTCTTGCATCTACTCAGATGGTAGAAAGTGGATATCCAGAACTCTTCAGTGACTACTAGTAAAACCCTCGAGTTTGGACTCTTATATTTAATTTCAACGAGTCCCATACATTTCAAATTGTCAACAAAATTGTTTTTATAACTATATCGATTGTATTTTATACATATAAGTGTGTAATAATGTTTAAATACACTGTCCAGCTACCCGGCGGTGGTGGCGGTACCGGAAGGCGTGTCGGACGAGTCGCTGCGGCGCGCGGCGCGCTGCTACCGCCAGGCGCGCGTGCCGCTGCTCACGTGGCGGCATCCGCGCACCAAGGCATTGCTGGCCAGGTATGACCATCATCACCATGTGGACATTTACTGCTGAAGTATCGTCATCATCATCATCATCTTTCATTGATTAGCGGCCTTTTTAAAAAAAGCGATATCTATATCAGTACTGGACAGTACATTTATTACTTTACTTAACAAACTATATGAGGATATTTTCAAAGTCGTCAAAGTTGTCGAATTTATTTTAATTTAAAAATAACAAACAACTTTTTTTATTTTGATATCTGTAGACGAATAATAAGTTAATATTATGTATATTTGTATTATTATTATATAATTATGTAGATCCGCCGCATCTCACCACAAAGGCGTGATGGGCATGCTGAAAGGCTCGAGTCACCAGACTCCGGCCAACGCGCCGAGCGGCACCGAGACTACCTCTAGTATAGAACAAGTATGTGTATATATTTTCCATAATAATTCTATTACGAAATATAATAAACAATAATAATTGTTATAGAAAAAAACATCACGAAACTTGATATTTTTCTAGCTTATACGAATACGAGTAAGTTTTGCAAAGATGTACATTTTTTCTTATTAGGTGTCGAAATTTGATAAATCATTTTTTACTGTCCCTTAATAATAGAAGTTTACGAATTTTTAAGGATTTTTTTCAAATTCAAAGTTCGTGGGTCTTTCGCACGAATATTATACAGTATTCTATACAAGTAATAAATCAGTTATTTATATTCAGCCCCTTCGAACGTCCCACTGCTGGGCACGGGCTTCCCTACAATACGAGGGAGATCAGGCCATAGTCCACCACGCTGGCCGAGTGCGGGTTGGCGGGTTAGTTATTTATATACCACGGATATCTTAAATGTGACGATGTTTTCACAGGAACGATACCTAGCGGCTCTGGTGGCTCTCACTCCAGCGTCGAGGGGCGAGCTGGAAGACTCCAGTCTAAGTTTGGACTCCCTACTGCTGTGCTGTGAGGAGCAGCCGCACAATCACACGCCTTTGTTGAGCAAAGCTGCCGGCACTTTAGGGTGAGTGAATTTATAAAAGTATTATATATAGGTAAGTTTTTAGAGTAATAATTATAGAATTAAATCTATATATATAAAAGAAAGTCGTGTTAGTTACTTCGCTTATAACTCAAGAACGGCTGAACCGATTTAGCTGAAAATTGGCAGGGAGGTAGTTTAGAGCCAGGAGAAGGACATAGGATACTTTTTATCCCGTTCGACCGCGTTCCAATTTTTATGATATTTTAATTTTTGGATTTCTCTTAGTCCGGAATAGGTAAGTATTAAAACATATAATTAAAATGTGAGAAAGAAAGATTTTTTTTTTTTATATCTATTTAAAACGTACCTAGCGACGAACCCGAGCGAAGCGAGGGTGAGCCGCTAGTATAAAATAAATACGAATAAAATTCAATTTTTGTAGGAGAAAATAAAAGTTAAATTTGTTTTTGTAGGTTGCTGAGTTTCATAACTAGCTCTAATTCAAAATAATAAAAAAAAACGTATGTGTACTTATGTACGCAAGTAAGAACTTATACTTCTTTGGCAAATTTCATCCCGTATGTCACAATTTTCTGTTTGTAAAATGAATGCAGCTAACTTCATCATGTCGCTTTTTGGCTGTTGGTATGCGCGCACATCCTAAGAATTTTACTCTCATATTTTTTTCCAAACGTGCCAAAAGGTGTATAACTTCAAAAAAAGATTATTTATCTTATTATAGTTATATATAGCTTAAAAACTTTAATTCTATTTATACATACTTTTATTATATAAACATGTTACAGTGTGCTTGGACGAGGCAGCGCAGGTAAAGGCGGCACGACGGCGCGCCACTTCGGACGATGGGGCTCGCTGAAGGACCGCCGCCAGCCCTCGCACCTGGACTTGTACGTGCCCCGGCAGCGTCTCTCTACTGCCGATCTTGACTCTGGTGAGGGTTTTCTCGAAAAAAAGACACATTCTTACTCTTATGTGTAGATATTTTCATTTCATAAACATTATGTGAGAAGTGAGACGTGAATAACGCGATACGATCACGTTTATTTGACATTCTGGAACATTCCACAGTACTTTAACATCATTTGACAACCCTTGTATTTGGCAGTATTTTTATTAAAATCAAGGAGCGATAGACTAAACTATGGATTTTTATACTATGGTAATGTTCTATTGGATTGCTTCGTTGGTAAACTGATGAATGCGTTACGAAAAAATGTACGTACGTTTGTTGCCATGGTAACCGTTGTTATTGTCTGACAAATGATATAATATGATATTATATTCTTTCCTCAAAATGATATTTTATAAATATATGATTGTAACATAGCTGATATGCGTTATTTTTAGTATCTCATTTTTAGTATCTCACCTATCCTAATTATTTAAAACATAAATAGAATTTCATAAAGAGTACCGATAATCTACAGCGTTTTCCCACCGTGTGTTGCAGTGTCGGGCGACGGCGGCGCGCCGGGCGGCGCGCGGCGCGCGGCGCTGTACGTGCTGTCGGACAAGGGCGGGCTGGGCGGCGCGGCGGCGGGCGCCGAGCCCGTGCCCGTGGAGTACCCGGACGCGCGCGCCACCAAGCACGCCTTCAAGAAGCTGCTGCGCGCCGCCGCGCCCTCCGCGCCCTCCGCGCCGCAGTCGCCCGACGAACCTGGCTTCTTCAAGTGAGCGACGTTATCTTATAATATTAACGCCTCCGTGGTTAGTTTCCGGGAAATCAATTGTTAACGGCCATGCCGGCATGTTCGCGACCGTTGAAGCGCTAAATTAGCTATTCTTGTAATTTTGTATTTATATAAAGTTTTGCTTTTTAAGTTCATCTATAAACTAGCGACTCACTCTCGCTTCGCTTGGGACGAACCTAGGTACGTTTTAACGGTTAGTATGAAATACAAATATTTGAATTTCTCGGCTTTTCTGTACAATAATATGTATGTATTATACATATAAACCTTCCACTTGAAATCACTCTATCTATTGCTGAAAACTACATTAAAATCAGTTGAATAGTTTAAAAGATCTCAGCGAACAGACAGCGGAAGTGACGTCATTTTATACTATGTAAAAAGATTTGGTATCTTTTCTGAAAAAAAACGCAAATTTTTATATTTATTCCGAAAAACGCCAATTGAAGTTCGGTTGAACAGGTACGATGGTATGCTGTATTTTTTATTATGTTAGCCAAAAGTTGAAAACAGAACCCTTATAATTTTGTCACATTCGTTTATTCGTCTGTTCGTACATTACAGTAATTTTACTCTAGTGATTATTGGAGCTTTATTGGGGATATGTATAATTGTATATCGAGTGTATTTTTTTAATATTTACAATAATTATATTTACTTGATATACTGTATAACAGACTAGTAGAAGATTCCGGCTGGCTGTGGCAGCTGCGCCAGCTGTTCCAGCTGTCGGGCGCGGTGGTGGACCTGCTGGACGTGCAGGGCTCCTCCGTGCTGCTGTCGCTCGAGGACGGCTGGGACGTGACTGCGCAGGTCTGTGTTGGCGGATGGAGGTCCACTTTCATCTTGCATGTGGTCTTTGCTTTGAACCCTAATCCTTTTTCTAAAATAAAAGTAGCCTAAGTTACTCCACATAACGACCCGTCAAAATAGTTCCAGCAGTTTCGGAGATTAGCCGGAACAAACAGACAAAAAAATTTTTTTCGTAATAGTACCGTATATACCGTATATTTCATAGGCATTTAATAAAAAGATGTCATTTTACATTACAAAGAGACGCTTCAATTTTATTTATTTGTATAAATAAAAATAAGATTTTTGGCACTTAAGCTATTTACTAGTAAAAAATAACCGATATATAAAATATTTCGACTCACTTAATATCAACTATTGCAATGTATACCATAATATAGATAAAATAGTTGTTATTATTCCAAATAATCTATTGCCATTCCGCAGTGTTGTTTCCTATAGGTATAAGATATTTGTATCAATCTAGTTAAGTCTAAACTATTATTAGGGTTAACATTTTGTTATGCATTGTTTTAAGTGGATTTATATCCTCTTCATTTTAATATTACGTACTTACTCTACACCATAATATATGTGTAACAGTTTTTTAAATTTAAATTTCAGATTTCATCGTTAGCACAGATTTGCCTAGACCCCTACTACAGGACACTCGAAGGTTTCCGGATAGTCGTAGAAAAGGAATGGTTGGCGTTGGGTCATAAGTTCCAACAACGGTCCAACTTGGCCGCCACTCCTCAGCAGGGCTTCACTCCTACTTTCCTCATGTTCCTCGATGCTGTACATCAGGTATAAAATTCTGATTTTTTTTATTTTCTTAATAGAAAAAAAAACTAACAGTGACAGGTCTAATGACCTGTCAGTGTTATAAAATTCTTGTCAACAATAAATATTTATTTAAAAAAGATATTGATATATTCTTAGTAAACATTTATAAATATTAAAAGTTCTAATGAACTGATCTGTATGTGAATAGCATGATTGTTTATCAGGGTTTGAGACCTGAGTTGGGCCAAATGTCCTACTTTTGTAATTCTGTCAAATATTGTACGGTCCTGAAGTTGAATAGTTCGCGGTGATACATCTCCATGCTGAGGCAGAGTGCTGTGCCTTTTCCATTTTTTATTGAAGTCTGATGATATTCTTATCGGACAGACAGAAATAAAGAATATATTTATATTCAAACACACATACACTGCAATATTTTCTATGTAGATAGCTATCCTAAGTAACTCAACGTTATAAATAACAATATCGTTGATGAATATATAAAGATACAAAGCGTATATACTCATCATCGTCTCAGTACTTATTTATCCAAATGACCAATTTATCTAAAGTGTTTAATACAGAATGATTGACTTGTAAATGTCAAAATCTCTACTCTAAAGTAGTATAAATAGTGGTTGTTTGAACAAATAATCAGTATGACGACATTATGTCCAATCTCCCGCACAGCTACAGAAGCAGTTCCCGCTGGCGTTCGAGTTCAACGACTACTACCTGCGGTTCGTGGCGTACCACTGCGTGTCGTGCCGCTTCCGCACCTTCCTGCTGGACAGCGAGGCGCAGCGCGCGGAGCTCGGCCTCGCGCCCGACGACCGCCGCGCAGACGCGTCGCGCATGGTAATAATAATAATGTCCACCTGACCGAATCCGGCCACGGCGGCCAATCTCATTGAGACTAGCCAACTGCGCAGGAGATATTATAGTGCACAAGTGTACGCGCAGACACAACGTGCACTGTCTGTTCCCGTCACTCTCATACTCCGGTGGGACGACTACTCGACACGACCGGTGAGAGTTAAGGCGCAGGACCGACGGCTTTACGTGCTCTCCGAGGCACGGGGGTGAAACACCGCCAAGAAGAAGAACATTATTAATACTACCTAACCTACCCATGTTTCGATCGGGTTCGCCTTATGTGTTACAGATTGCCGTACAATTTCCCCGTTAACATAATTCAATGAATATTTTTTTCCGACATCAATTAATTACTGTGATTTTTGACATAAAACCAATTTTTTTCGGCATATAAAGTACTAAAGGCTTAAAAAAGCTTGGCAATCTGCGATGAAAGAGATTCCTATTAGTGAAAGTATTTTCAGTTAAATTAATAGTTTCAGAGATCACCTCTAACAACCTAAAAATTTACCTTTTTAAAATATGAATGTATATAGAAATATTCTTAAGTTTTAAATTAAAAAACCTAAACTTTGTGATAGTTTTTTTATACAAAAATATATGCTTCCAGGGCGTAGAAACAGGCGGGCCCGGTGGTATGGCAGGCGGTGCGGGGTGCGAGGGCGAGGACGGACGCACGGCCCTGGGCTTGTTCGAGTACATAGAGCGCTTACACCAAAGATCGCCTCTCTTCTACAACCTGCTGTATACACCGGACCTGGACAACCCCGTATGTACATACGATATTATAGTCTAAGATCCGAAGTAACGTTATTTTCGCTCATCTGTATATGATCGAGGCTACCTTTAATTGATTTTTTTTTATATTTAGGTTAAATTAATCTTACGTTTAATGAAAGTATAAAAATATGGGAAATATGTTGATAAAAATATATCTTTGAAATTTTCAAAAAAAATAAATAATGTATGTTTTTGTATGATAAAGGAAATAGAACATAAAAATAATTAATACACTATTTTTCTGAAACGGAAACCTCGACCATATTTTATTAAATAATACATTTGTTTTATTGTGTGTGATACGGTTTAATATAAGATTTTCTTCAGATTTAATAAGCAAATGTGTGAAGAAAAACTTAACTTTAGATCGACGGTCTCTATCTATATATGTTGAATTCCACAATTACATTTCAGGTTTAATTCATTAAAAATTTGTTTATTCCGTTCGTTGTATATCCTGTTTTAATCAAATTTTATTTATAATATTTCTTTGTTTTTGTTTAAAAACCTTGTTGGCAAAGATACAGAAAATTTTTACTTAGTAACTTTTAGTGAAAATATGAAAGTTTTGGAATATACAATACATTGTTTTTAAAATTTTAATAATAATAGTTTAGTTAGAGCTAAGAATAATAAAAAATAAAATGTAAATTTGATCTTGGAGATGATAAACAAATGTAATACCATCTCGTCAATAAATGTGAGTGTTTTAAATAATTGTTCTGCATTAATGCTGCACTCGCACCAGCGGTCGACGGTCTACTATGACCCAGTGCGTATTACTTGGTAATTATTACATATATCATAACAGACAAACAGTTATGCTACAAATATTATATATACATATGTACCTAGTTTAAATATGTTATTTTTTTAATTTTTCTTTATTTTTTTTTAGTGTTGCTAGTTGCTAGGTTGATTGATAGTTATTTTATTGTGTTTTTTACTATTTTATGAAAATTCTGTATATAACAATGTCATAAGTATGTAAGAAAATGTTATGAGGTCTCTTTTAATATATTTTAAGAAAAAATAAAAATTACTTTTAAGACATATAAATAAATACTTTAAATTAAAACTAAGAGTAGATTTCCTATATATGTTGCGTAAAAGTATGTTATTTATACAGGAAATATTTTTCAAGAGGTTGTGAAGGTAAAAATTACAAATTATAAGTAATAATAAATAATTATCAATGATTCACTTTTGTTCTATTCTTTAATTTAATTGGTTGTGTTATTTTGTGTAAAAACAATTGAACGTCTAGGATTTTTTAAAACTTATTTTATCTCATTTAAAAAAAACAATGCATTTCTGAATTAAAATAGGTCTAGTGTCTCTTTTCAGCAATTTTTATTATCCCTTATAGTCACAGATAGCCATCCACATCCACTTGAAAAATACAACCGTTGTAATATATTGAGTTTTTTACTGTAAGCAAACTTCAATATATATTTTATATCTGAATATATCTATAATATGTATATCTGGCCGCTACTGCACGCATTGCATGTCTCAAGAACGGCTTTGAAGTATCAAATATGATATGATTCATTAGAACAATGAAGAATAAAATTTAATTTTCATATGTTAAAATTAAGTTGATTTCATATACATACATGTATTTCGATTTTTAAATTAGTTAAAAGGGTAGACATTTTTTTATTTTTTGAATTATGAAAATCAACTTACAATTGGGCGTATCTAATTAATAATCTAAACATCGTATAACATCACACAAATAAACATATAGCCGACTTCAGTTCCTCGATACCAACTATTATTAGTTCATTCGCGTTAAGAAAATAGTGAGTCATCGTTGCCCACCGGCCTAGCCACGCCCCCCGACCAATTAGATTGCATAAAATTATAAAGTCATATTTCACAATGACCAGTTGAAGGCACACTTAAATATGTTATTGATGACTTTATTTTGATTTGAGATAATTATGTTAATTAATTAGCTCAAATCAAAATAAAATCATTATCATTATATGATGACTTTATTTTGATTTAAGATAATTAAGTTTATTAATTATCTCAAATCAAAATAAAGTCATTAACATCTCAAATGAAGAGATAAGTAGGATAATTAAGTTGATTTTTATCCATTAAACTTAATATTTTGAAATACTGAATTTGAATTGAAATTTTACTCCCACTTTGTATACACCTTTACCTGCCGTTGCACTTGATGACTCACTATTTTCTTAACGCGAATGGACAATAGATACCAGTATAGATTTGCCACGAATTAACAAATGATCATTTCTACCTTCATTGTTCTATCATACTTACTCTCATACCAGAATTATCATTAATAATTATTTTCTATGTATATTGTTTTTTATATGTATGTGTATGTGATAGGTGTTGAGGCCAGTGAGCGCGGTGAGCAGCCTGGAGGTGTGGGAGTACTACGTGAGCGAGGAGCTGGCGCACGGCGCGCCCTACGAGCCCGACCTGTGGCCCGACGAGCGCGCGCCGCCCGCCGCGCGCCGCCTCGTCGTCGCTGGGTCATTATATTTGTTGTTATTACATGTCATACTGTTATATTGTACGATTTTATGTTGGCTTGCGTGGTTAAATTAATCTATACATACTATGTAATAATATTATTTGTATGAGTGTGTGTTTGCTTATTACTTCTTTGCGCTGAGACGACTGAGTGGATTTAAATGAACATTCAGTACACAGACAGACTGATCTGGAGTATAACATTGGCTACTATTACCTAGGGATGCATTCGAAAGAAGCGTGAGTAAGTCTCTGGTCTATATATAAAAGATTACAAAATTAGTATTACATTTACACTGAATTCACAACACTTGTGCCATAAATAAAACCGTATTTGGGTTAAAAGCAAAGCATTATAATACAACATTCTTAAATCTATATATTAATATAGACTGGGTATCCCAACCATAACTCGATCTTAGCGCCATCTAGTTACAGATATAAAAAACTTAAACAAATTATAAATATTTTTCAATAGTTCATGCAAACACTATATGTAACTTGTATATGTCCACAGATACGACAGCATCCCGCGCTGCATGCCGGACGCATTCACGGGGCTGCTGGAGCGCCTGCGCCAGCTGGAGCTGGAGCTGGGCCACCTGCCGCAGAAGTGGCGCGTGCGCTGGGACCAGCTCGAGCTGCCCAACACCGCCGAGCTGCAGGTCGGTACTGGAAGAGTAATTTTTGTATTTGTAGATCAGAAAGTATGGGGTAGGTTTTGGTATTTGTGGTTTTTTTTTGGTTTGGTTAAAGAGTAATATAGGTTTTTTTGAAAGTTATAAATAAAGTGAGTGTTTTTTATGGTTTGCGATTTTAATTTGAATTTAAAAAAGTCGGTATTTCACTGGTTTTTACATTCTTTCAGTTCAATACCTTAATTATTTTACATTAATTGAGGATATGTGTGGCATTCCATCATCTCCACCTCTCATTAAAGGGTTGTTGATTTACGATATTTTGATCTTTTTAAAATAATATTTTCATTAATATTATAAAAATAATTTTATTGGGTATATCCATTATATTATTGATTCGATTGCGTTAGTTACTATAAAATTGAAGTTATAAAGTCGAATACTGTTATGACTATTTTTTTAAATCTATGAATAATTTATTTTCAATACTAAATACATTCGTTAGTATCGACAGCGGTAACAATAAAGTGCGTGTGTGTGACAGCGCGCGTCGTCGATGAGCAGCGGCGTGGTGCGGCGCGCGACGGCGGCGGCGCACCGGCGCGGCACGCGCGACGTGCTGGCGCGCGCGCGCCTGGCCGCCGCGCCGCCGCCGCCCGCGCACCGCTGGGCGCCCGCGCCGCACGCCGCGCCCGCGCGCTGCGACCACTGCGCCGACCTGCTCTGGGGGCCGCTCGAGGTACGCACCTTACTCCTTACCACTTCTTCTCTTCACCTGTACCTTTAAATTATGATTTCTTCTATTCACCTCCTTAAAGGATGATTTCCGGGATAAAAAGTATCCTATGTCCTTCCCAAGGTCACAAACTATCTTGCTAAATTTCATCTAAATCGATTCAGTAAATCCAGACATTACCTCCTACAAAGTCACAAATTCACAAACTTAACCTCTTTATAATATTAGTATAGATTATTGAAATTTTATAATAATTTATGTGTAATAATCTCTGTGTAATATGCATTGAGCTAATCCAATTATAGAACCGAGACATGGATAGTGAATGTCTTATGACTTACATCTTTGTGGCCCAAAGTGACAGTGCTTATTTGAAAGCGTTTTATAAAAACTGAATAAATATTTTTTTTTTGTCTGTCATAAAATTTTAACTATTCATTTCTTCGATTATTATATGGAAACTTATCAATTCTCATAAGTCAATTTTACTTTTTTGATGTGATAATGGAATGTAGAATTAAATATAAAATAAATACGTTAAATAATTTGTTTATAATGAATTTCAATACCTGGCTGTGATAATATTGACGTATGTATGGTGATGGTGGTGGTGGTGCCGGCAGACGGGCGTGCGGTGCGTGGACTGCGGCGCGGCGTGCCACGAGCGCTGCGCCGACGCGCTGGCGCTGCCCTGCACGCGCTACAAGGCGCCGCCGCCCGCCGACCGCGACGCTGCGCGCCGCCGCCGCCGGTACGCACACGATTGTCCAGCATCGGATATTACAAAAGCTACAATTGACTATCACCGATTTCACCAACGTCACCTAAGTTTAAGGGATCCCCTAAGCGTGGTTAGGGGGCTGTTAGAGGACAGTTTCTGTTTCACCGACAACTACAAATAGGTACTACAAATACAGGATCTGACGATTATAAACGAAATTTAATTTAGGGGCTAGTTTAGGGGGAACTTTTTAGCTGGGGATCCCATACGTAGGTGGTAGCTTATAGGATGTTGGTGAAATCGGGCATTAGTGTCGTAAATTAAATATTAATGTCCATCACAATTTTATATATAACTAGCGTCTCACCGACCACGTTTTAACGTTTAGTATAGATTTCTCAGATATGAGATATTTTCTCGCAGTAAAAAGTATCCTATATGTTAACCTAGATAACCAGCTACCATCATACCAAATTTCATCAAAATCTAGTGGTTTTCTCGTGATGCGTTCCCAAACAGACAGACAGACAAAAATTCTAAAAACTATATTCAGCCTCTGTGTCGATAATGATGACTATTTCAATAAGATTTTCAAAAAAATATTTAGTGTACAGATTCGTCTCAGTTCAAATAATTTTATTTTATGTATAGATTTTTTGAATAAGTCTCCTAATTTCGTAGATTATATTGATTAACAAAATATATTAAAATATTAACATCATACCACACGTATATTTATAAACCTACATGCAGGCACGATGGGCACGCTGCAGTCATCGTCTCAACAGTATTACGAACAATTTTCATCAAACGTGGCCGAAAACCGAACCCATGAAGGGCATTTATACAAAAGAGGTGCATTGCTCAAGGGATGGAAACAGAGGTATGTTATTTGTGTTCTATTATAATGCTATTATTTCTTTTAACGCCTTTTTTGACGTCCCACTGCTGGGGGTGGGCCTCCCTCCAATACGAGGGAGATCAGGCCATAGTCCACCTCGCTGGCCAAGTGCGGGTTGGCGGACTTCACATGTCTTTCGTAAACAAACTTGCTAGGTTCTCTCAGACATTTAGATTTCCTACAAATTTTGCTTCACCGTAAGACAAGTTGTAATGTTATGTAAGACATGTTGAAAATGATTTGCACATGAAAATATCAGAGGTGTGCCCGAGTTAGATTCGCTATACTTGATTTCTCAAATAAGCGCGTTACCACTGGGTTACCACTGGCTTGCGTTAGCTTATAAAACTTGTTCTTTAATATTTAATTTTTTGTAAGTAAAAGAGTTTTTACATATAAAAAAATATATTTTTATATGAAAAATTTGGATAAAACCAGTATAATTTGAAGCTTGTTAGCAAGATAAGAGAAATATATAATAAAAATAAAAAAATATATCTTAATATTGCAAATAATTATATTCGTAATTTTTATTGAGTGATGAATAAATAGTTTATTATTGGGTGTATGTAGATGGTTCGTGCTGGATTCCATAAAGCATCAGCTCCGGTACTACGACGCGATGGAAGATTCACACTGCAAAGGATTTATTGGTAATTTTGTTTAGTAACGTAACTAGCCGTCACCCGCTATCCTGGGCGTACGTAAAACTTTGTTTTGGTGTTCAGATACCTTAATGTACTCGTATATTTGGTTTTTTTCGCTTATACATTAAATATTTAAATTAAAAAGAAAACAATTGAATAAAAAATGTCTTTTGTTTTTATTGGTGGTTTTTTATAATGTCTAGTTGAAAAATATTTATGAAAGTAAATAAATGAGTTATATCGTATTGCTCCTTTGCAATAAAGTTACATATTGTTTTGTATGTAGTTGATTTATGAAATTATCTACTTTCTATAGCAAATATGGAGACACTACTATAATTAGGGTCTAAGTTGGGGTCCTCCTTTTTTTAAATTGGTCAATATATATAAATTAAACTATCTTGTCGGATTTTTTCGCGGATTTATTTTTATTTTTTATTTCCCGACATTTCGAATGCTCTACAGCGCACATGGTCATGAGACTAAGGTTTTAGACGTCTCAAAGGTCAATACAGTAACCAAATATCAAAATAAATCCGCGAAAAATTCCAAGATAGTTTAATTTAAAATTTCAAATATTTGCGTAAATCTAAAAAAAGTATTATGATCAAAATATAATTGAACATAACGTGTGTCGCAGACCTGGCGGAGGTGCTGACGGTGATGCAGGCGCCGCCCGCGCCCGGCCCGCCCAAGAAGTGCGACGAACGCTCCTTCTTCGACGTAAGTTACAGTACATACATTATATATATATATATATATATATATATATATATATATATATATATATATATATATAATCTATTGTTAATAATGAAAGCTTGTTTTAAATGTGTCGTACATTTCATTTTTTCAATTATGACAAATACAATAATACTAACCAAATATAATTAAATTACATATTTATAATGTTTTAACCAATTATGTAAACTATATGTATTAATTTCACAGTTACGAACAAGCAGGCGAACGTACAACTTTTGCGCGAGCGATGCCAACGCGGCGCAGGAGTGGATCGAGAAACTGCAAGCCTGTCTGCAGTAGCTGCGACACGATCGCTGCACGACTGCGACGCGACCGCTCGTCGTGCGCCGTGGATCCGACCACTGGTTCCTCGATAGCCAAATAAATGTGTCACAATTGTTGAAGACCATTTTAGTAAATTATGTTACGAATTGAACTATCTAACGGTAGCTCGAGAAGTCGTTAAATTGTTCTAATGTCTTGCAAAATGACAAAATTTTCTTGTATTTTTGTGTTCATTTGACAAGAGTACAATTGAAATTGGTTAGTAAATTTTGGATTTCGATGTCAACATATCACGTGAAAGTTTTAAAATCTACAAATAATGTAGTGGAAAGTTTTCGTTTCATTATTTTTTTAATTGATACTGGCAGAGATTAATGGTTGGTTTTTCAAACTAGAATTCATTTGGACCGTCCCGACTCCCGGCGTGGGCGGTGACGCTTAAGCGCTGTATGTAGGTTGCAGTAAAACGACATTTTATTGAACTGTGTCTCATTAAAGTACGAGATACATCGTATTTTACGAATTATGTTATAATAAAACGAGTATATTTCAAAATGCTTGTAGGACATGCGAAGATGTTCTCTTGTTGTCCTCACCATTTTTGTAAAATATATCAGAATTTGATGTAATTTAGATTTTTATTTTATATTAATGTGGTAGTTAAATTTTCGCTTATTAATGTTAATCAAACATTATAAAGTGTACTTGAGATTAAATATGAGGCTCAATTTTTTTTAACTGCGTTTAAACAATCCTAGTAGCATTTTGAAGTAAAAAGTATGTATAAGAAACGGTCACTTATGATTTTGTTAGTAAAATCAATAAGTGTGAAATAAATATGAAACATCCAGTTAGCAATACACCTAGACTTACCGAGAGCAGTACACGAGTGGACACTCCTGTTGTTAGATCGAGAGCTTTCTTTCGTTATTATAGTAAATACTTGTATAACTCGAATATTAATATAAAATTTGAATTTATTATTTGTCTATAACAAAATATACCATTATATTTTATGCATTTTTAAAGTTTCTCATTCAAATTACTAACCCTGTAACAGTTGTTGCTATAATAAGGAAGATGGCGCTCGGCCTCGATCTCGCGAGCATTGACGTTTAGAATGCAAGTATTTATACTAGACTTAGTCGTAGAAAATAATATTGTTACGTTGGTTATTTGTACATATTTTATCACATTATTGTTGTGTAAAGACTTCTGTTCCATTATATTTTTGTTTAGCGCATTATTTTATATATTATATTATTATTGTAAATTGTCTATAGCATCACACGAGATGGCGCTGCGGTCGCCGCTTCGATATTGTCTGTGGGAATCTCACTGTCCCTTCTTGTTACTCTATGCCCTGTGGTCGTTTTGTAAATATTTTATGTTGATTGTTGACATATCAACCGTCGTGACGCGTCGTTGTGGATCAAACATGATTTTGAACGTTTCATTCGCAACGCAAATATAATTTTTAATGTATGTAAATAAATAATTTCCGTGTTGCATTTAGCCGTCACGTCGGCGCGTCGGTCGTCGTCCTCTGCGACTTGTACCGCTGTATGTCAGAATGTATAACAATTAAAATTTTATTTGTATTGGTAATTCATTCTAATTTTCACATTTATTTTGGAATTCATGTACTACTTATGTCAGTTAGTAGACAGTGTGAGACGACGCCACTTTAAGATTAGTATCGCGTGTCGGTGCCAAATGACTAGAACTCACTCGATTGTGGCGTCTTGGATTACTGGATATGTAGATTTGCATAAGTCTTGTTTTACTCGATCGGCTTTACCATGTGATATTGTAATAATTTCTCAAAACTTATTTATTTTAAGGTTATTTTTTTAATAATATTGTTTATTTTATTTATTGTTTAGAAATGTTCTATGTATTGTCTAAAATAGCTATTCTATTCTTGTTTGCCGCTACACTTTTGTATGTAATCGTATAAAACCATATCAATTTAATGAATGTAATGAGTGTCGTAAAACAAGGCTTATAGTTCGGACAAACTCTTTGAAAGAACTGCGTAGGAACTAGCTTTGCTTAGATCTCCCGACTCCATACAAAGCCCGGCGATGCGATGTTTCTCAATATTTTGCAAATTCCAATGTACAGCTTAATTTTTATATGTCTCGCGCGCGCCGGGCGCTGCTGTAACACTTAACAGTGCACTGCGTATTATCGAAATAAACAAATTTTTAATTGATATTTGCCTTTTTTATTACAAATCAAAATCTTTAATTTTAATTTACATATTATAAAAATTATACATTATGGAATTATAAGTTGTTCAACTAATCCTCTTAGTTTCATATAAACTCAACTCGATATACATATTTTCTTAAATTAATTCCCTGAAAATAAAATGTCACGTGAGTTTGTTAGTCGTTACTTAGTCATTAAATCCAGCCAGGTGATGGTCGAGCTTCTTCCAGTGTATGTAATAATATCATACGAAGCTCAGGTGATTCCCTTAACCAATACTATGGGGCCCCATCAAACGTTATTGAAATTTGTTTAATGAAATGGACCATGAATATGTATGCATATATTTTAATTAACACATTTTTATAAAGCAAAATATGTAATGTGAAAGTTTGCGGCACATGGACATTTACATATATTATTTACTAGCGACTCACTCTCGCTCCGCTCGGGTTCGTCTCTATTTACGTTTTAACACTTAGTACTGATTTCTCAGAGATGAGATATTTTCCCGCAGTAAAAGTATAATGTATAATGTCGACCGTGAGCTATCATCATACCAAATTTTATCAAAATCCCTCCAGTGGTTTTTCCGTGAAGCGGGAACAGACAGACAGACAAAAATTCTAAAAACTATAGATTAGGCCTCTGTATCGATAATAATGTCTATTTCAATAAGATTTTCCAAAAAATATTTAATGTACATATTCGGTTTAGTTACAATTTTATATATGTATAGACTAGCGGCTCGCCCCTAGGTACGTTTTAAATAGTTATAAAGTTATTACCAGCGTTAGCCATATTTCTTTTTCGTGAATTTTTCTGATGTTTTAATAGCTATTCTGCTATTCGGGATGAAGACAAATCCAACAAAATCAAAAATTATAGAAATCGGTCCAACCGTTCTTGGGTTATATAAATCTTTTAACATTTATTTAATTTCAATGAATAGATAAGTAATTTATTTTAGAAAGGTAGCTTCTGTCCGTATGTGTATTTTATTAACTTGAGTCGACTCGCTTTCTATGCGAGGACAATGAAAAAGGACCTCAACTTTCATGTGAGTACTCAACCGTAAATACAACAAAAATAGCTTATTTTTAATTCAGACCATCATATGAGTAACAAAAATAAGTATTATTAAAATCCGACCAGTCGTCGTTTATACTTGAGTGTTGTTAAACTGAGTTCTCGATTATATTAAATAAGTAAAATTATAAAAAAAACTAGTTATATTATTATTTATATTATTTGTTATTATTAGTATTATAGTAATACTATTTTACAAACCAGCCATAAAAATTTAAATATAAATTAGGTACTATATACGAAAGAACATAAAAACACCAAAATAAAACACACAAATCATATGTAACAATTTTATTTTACCAATATTAATAATATATTAACATATGTGGTCCGGAACCACCCTCTCTCTGATAATAATATAATACAAAGAATTTCAGAGCTCTCTGAACCCATAACAAGAAAACAATAGCGCTATACCTAAGTGAACTACGAGCGTCACGAGTCAAGTGATAAAACATCAGCCTCCTACCGACCACCACTCCACTCCTCTCCACTCCACTCTTCTCCACTCCACTCCACGAGGTAAAAAAGGAAAAAGAAAAGGTAAACATTCTCATAATATATTAATTAATTATTTAACCTAAACGCGTGCGGCGCCGCGACCGCCGCGTCGCCGCGCGTTGTATCATACATTATATACAATGGGAAATAAATATTCTATACGCATGAATACACAGTGTATGTACAGACGCCAACCACCACTGCGACAACCACCTAATACATAATATATATCACAAATATATAAACATATTGTCAGGTAGCGGTTGAGTTGCCTACGTACAACTTGGCGTTTAGTTTTTGGCTTAGCTAGGTTCAAAAGTGCGGTAAATCCGCTCGCGCCTCGCGCCCAGCCACCGCCGGGAGGCAACGCGCTCCACACAAAGTGGAATCCATATCAAAAACATTCGTCATTTGCACCCAAAATTGCCTTGTACTTTTCTCATACGCCTTTATTTTTTGACATTTAATTTTCGATATGTAGATCACTTTGTATAGTCTTAAGTTAAAATTAATGCTAAATAAAAATAATATTGAGTGTCTACTCTACCGTTGCCTCCCTCTCGCTCAACTCGTCACAGTCGGTCGTTTTTCGCGAAAATTATACCTAAGTCCGTAAACGTCACTAAAACACTTTTTGGTTTCCACATTGTACAAATATCCTCCAAAAATACCCAATTCGAAGTAATAAATCAGTTAAAACTTGTAAAAAATTGGGCCGCGAATAATTTATTTAAAAAATTGTATTTAAAAGCGTCAAAAACCTGAGCCACGTCGATTATCGTTATTTGATGTGTCTGACTGAAGTAGAGTTCTCATAAGACCGGTTAAAGCTCACGACCGACGCGCAGCCACTATCACTACTACATTGCTTTTTTAATATTTAATATTTGCAAGAACGGATCCAGATACAAATTATTAATAAAGCTGTCAAAAGTGTAAAATGTGTACCAAAAAAAATAATTAAATAAACGTACAAATACAAATTATAATAATTTCCCTATATTTAGGGAAAATCATAATTAAAAAATAATATTAATCCCGCAAACTAGATCCGCTCTTGCCATCTTAATCTACTTCCATATCTAAAACCAAAAATCAAGGAGAGTCGGAGGCGTAGCTCTGTACGAGTCACTCACAAGTGCACACAGGGCGCGCAATCCGACGTGAATTTTATTATATATTACATGCTTTCGAAATGGCATCCTCATGGCTATTGTGTATAACTAAAATGCCAAACGACATCAAATTTTGCTGAATCAATTAAAATACAACTATTATAACCATCGATGTACTTAAATTATGACTGTGTGACGAGCAAGTCGTGTCGATACGTTGCGTCACAGATTAAGATATATTCGTTTTATAATACAACTTTAAGCTTTTTCGTCACTTTGGAATAAAATTTCAATTAATTATTATAGTCCAATGCAACTGATTGGTATCTAGAGGACTAGACTAACTTCCTAGTACAGGGATGAATTTTTTAAATTTACTTTCTAAATTAATTAAAAGTAAACCAAAATAAAAGAGAATAAAAAAATAATAATGGCGTCAATTTTATAAAAAAATCGGACAAATCAGTGACATTGGCCTAATAATTGTCTAAAAACGCATTACGCTTCGCACCCTTCATTGAACGATACCGAAAAGTAGCATATAACTAAGGTAGCTGTAGACTAATGCCTGATGCTTCGGCGTGCTACTTCGTGCTACGGTGTGGTGCTACGAAGAGTTACGTGCTCGGGCGCTACGGAGTGCTTCGAAACGATATATCGTAATGCTTCGAAGCATAATGTTTTGGTGCTTCTCGGTGCTTCGGAGTGCTTCGCGGTGCTGCGCTAATGCCCAACAGGCTCGACGTAGTTGGCGGGGTAGAGGCCGACGCGCCCGTCCTTGCGTCCTTTACACCATCCTTGTTCGTCCTCATCTTCTAGTTTCTCAAATAAGTCGCCTGAAAAAAGATTATTTATAGGTTAATTTAAAAATCTTGGTGTAATTTCGAATTTTTATAAATGTTTAATATAGAATTGTGACAGATTAAGGTAAAACTGCATATTTTAAATTGCCAAACTATAAAATATTCCTTGCTACCTCATCTATCACCAAACTCAACTGTAAACACAAACTAAATAAATGGCTGCCCTCGTCTGAACTCTGAAGCATATCTGTCTGTCTATATTTGTGTACGAACGTTTGTCTCACCGGTTGTGTCTAGTTATCGTTCTATCAGAGTGCACGGCGAGCGTGCACGTTGTGTCTGCACACACTCGTGCACAGTTGGCTAGTCTCAACTTAAGAATTCACCAACTATGTATGAGTCGAGTTTCACCTCGCAGATGAGATGAACCATAACCGGATTCATCCAGAGCATACCTTGTCTAAAGCTGAGCTCGTCGCTCTCTGCGCCGGTGTAGTCGTAGAGCGCGCGCACGGGCACGCCGGGCTCGCCGGTGTCCGTGAGCGCGCCGCCCGACTCCTCGTCCCACTCCTCCTCCTCGAACGGGTTGTCTTTGCCCATACTGTCCTTCGCTGGTGAGGTCTTTGCGGATTTCGGTGCAGATGCTGTGCCATTTCTGTGATTAACGACAACATTAAATCTGTAGGTATATTAAAAAACAAGCGACTCACCCTTGCTTCGCTCGGGTTCGTCCCTAGGTGATTTCAAAATGCTCATAATATTTCGAATGAGGTTTATAAGGAAGACAAAAAAATTGAAAACTTCCCGAAAATTGGGAAAATCGGAAGAAATTGAAAGTGTTTTTTTTCTATTATAATATGTGATATGATGAACTAATATTTATTAATTTACACGTCCAAGTTACTCGTCTATTAGAGGAACACACTAATTAATCAAAAATATTATATCTAAATACTGAAATTACAATAATCTCAAAACAAAATACAACCTAGGTACTTTCAATGCTTAGTATACGAGTACATAAGAATAAGTTAATGATTTTAAACTCTAAAACTAACTCAATATCAAAAACATCGGCCAATTCACAAAGCGTGTAACACGAATGAGCTCTATCCCGCACTGTGTGGGCTACACGTGACTGCGACGCGTGCGCACAAGCCGGCGCACACGCGTATATCTCTACACGTTGTATTCTATATAGAATTATTAGTAAATTAAACTTAACTTTATAAATGGTAAGTACTCGTACATCGAAAAAAAGAAGACTACGGATATAAGAGCAAGCATTGAATGGACTGCGTCTGTTAACGCAACTATAAGCCAAATAAAAAAAAAAGAGCAAGAATTTTTAAAAACGCTCAAATCCGTTGAGTCTTTTAATGTTTAAAGATAACAAACATTTGTAAATTTCACATTTCAATTATTAGTATAAAGTCTGTTTTTGTTTTAATCAAATTCATATCAAATTGTTTTAATTAATAGCATAAAATACATTATTTATTATTTAAATTAAAGTAAATTTAGATTATTGAATTAATTATTAAAAATTAAACAGAAATATATTTTGTTAGTATTTCTTATAATAAATTGATTTTTCTTTTTAATGTTCATAATAAGATATTGAAATCTGCACGGAAGGCAAGTTACACATCGTAATACTTTCATTTAAAACACTGTTTCAATATAGACATTTTGCAGATAAATAATACACATTTTTTTTAATAAAAAAATATACTCACGTGACAGCTATAGGTGCACTTATATTTTTCTTATCTATGGTGTTGTTAGCGCTAGTGTTGTTCTGAAGGACTGTGTTATTATGCGGCGGCTCCGAGTGGTTCGCCGGTTTGGCCGATTTGTTGTTCGTGATTGGTGGGAGCTCCTGTACCACAGACAATACAAGTTGTAACATTTGGTCCTTCGTGCCGGATTATTATTTATTTCAAAAATAACTTAATATTATTATATTAAATAATGTTTAAATATATGTAAATATACTTAATTTATTTAAAATAACTTTTAAATATATCTACGTAAATACGTAAAGGAATTTATATCCAATATAACTTAATTAAGGTTAATTATATTATTTTAAAACGTGCCAATATGCATATCGGTAAAGCGACATCCATCATGCAACATCGATCGATAAAAAAAGTAAAAATAATTATAAAAAATAATACTGAGGGGTATAAAAAAGCACATCTAATATAAAGATCGAAATGAGAATGACCCATACACCGGTTACTCATATCTAAAGAAACTTCATGCAAACATTTTCTAAATATATACTAAGCAAATGCTAAATAGAATTGGTACTTATGCACTTCATTCTCATTTAAATCCCACAATTGGGCCTAACCACACTTCTAGAAAAATCTATAAAAGTGCACCAAAAAATCATTGAACCTATATATTTCCTGTAAATACAGCTTCGGTAACCTGTAACTTGAATAAAATGGTAAAAATGTGTTTAGCCCCGTGTCTTACCTTACTTCGGCAAAAAATTCACGCAGACAGCAAACTTGCTGTTTACGCAAATAAAAGATACTATAACCGTCTCTTTCGAAGACTGACAACAAATATTTTGTATAAATTTTGTTATTAAAAAGTGTCTTGAATTAGACGTAATCACAGAACATATATTCCAAAAAGAAAGGCATTTTAACGACGATCACTATTTTATTAAAGCTAAGATTTCTAAATGAAATATATACTCTGTGATATGTTATGGACGTACGTCTTCGCTGACTGGCCGCTGGTTGAGTAGTGTGATGGGTCCCGTTGGGAGGCTCTCCTTCGACTTGCCCTTCGCGATGTCCCGGAACTCCTCCGTGTATTCCTGGTTCGATACACGCGGTCACAAGCTTTTGGATATTGGAGACACGTTGGGACAAACTACTCTTCTTTTCAAACCCAATTTTTTGACATAATTCCCAAATATTTCAATAGAATAAAGTAAGACTGATTAATATGTCCCAAAGTGTCTTCAAATGTTGGCAAAATCAAAATAACAAATTAAAAAATAATTAATAACGTTTAAAACAAAGCTGTGTTTATTAAATTGACGACATCAAACAAGTGGGGTGACGTGTCAGTTGCCATGCTCGAGGGTGTGATGACGATGAGTAATGCATGGTTATCTATGTACGGGGCGAATCAGAATATTATCAGAAATTACTATTCAAGTATTTAAAAAGATTAAGGAAATAATTTAAATATATTTTTCTTTGAAAACGTAAAGATACAGATTTTCAAATGAACCTTGAACTTTTCCCACTCAAGAACAAAGTACGAGTAATACCTAATACTCCTTTAGCTGTTGCCTGTTAGCATCGAATTACACGCCTTTTGTATCTGAATACTATAATTTTTGTGCGGTTTGGTTCTCGTCCAACGCTTGTGGACATTTCTCTTGAAATTCAGATTTTATAGTTGGTTTTGTTTGGTATAGATTGTATAATTTTTGTAACATAATTTTATGTAGCTAGAATTGACAGTAGCTGAAGTGTTGGGTTGGAACTGGAAGTCTGTTTCTTATCGTATAAGACCGTGATTAAATTGACGTGTTTGGTGATTATATATTAATCAGGTTAATAATGTTTTTTCAGGTCGCGTTAAATAAATTTAGTTATTCATTATAAGAGAAAATGTTGAGAAAAAAAATATAAAACGTAATGTTGTAAAAAATGGGTAATCTGCATAAACGTTGAAAAATAAAAAATAATTACTAGTGATCGAATGCTGCCACAATATATTTACGAAGCTCTGATGAAAATTGCATCTCTAAGTGTCCAGAGTGTCCCCTTTTATGAGTAATGAGTGCACGTAATCTGTGGACGCCAATAATAATTTATTTTATAAAAATAGCGCGATCATTCGCATTGTGAGCGCCCATACCAGTGACTTGTGCCAGAACTTTAACCAAAATTGGTGGAACTATTTGCCAAATGGTGACAATTTGCATATTTGCAATGTGAAATATAAATTTGTTACTATCAGGCGATTTACAGAGCTTTATGGTTTAGGAAAACAGGTGATTTACGCCAAAAAAATTTGAAACCAAATGTTTTTGCCAATTTTTTTCCAAGACCCAAAATAGTATGAATATGATCAAAATGAGATCACATTTGTAGGACAGCATTCTCAATTTAATCAATATTGCAATTACCAATTCCCCGACCAGCTCTGCCAACCGTCCCGACACCGTGGCGTACCATGAACGCGAAATTATAGCATCTGCCGTTAGTATACACGCTAGTGGTGTCTGATGGGGCCACCCTGCTTTCTTCGCCGAAGCAAATAGTTGGTAGGGCTCTTCTTATTCGCCTTTGGGCTCTCGACCAGGTCTCTCTTGTGAGAATGGACCGAGTGCTGGTAATACGAGTTATCACCGCTGAAGCGGCGGCTGGGAGGTATTTGTAACGTATCTCGGTGGTCTCCGGCGGTTCGTCCTTTCAATGTAATATGGCAATTTTCATATAACTCATATAAGAACATGCTTTTCAATGAATGGCATGTTTACGTGGCAGGTGATAACTAAATAAAATGTGGCCTTCTAAACATTTTCTTATTAGAATCATAAAGTCGTAGAAGCTATTATATTATTAGTTGTTTTTTGAAAAGATAATTGATTTGTTTATTGTTTTCTAACAATCTTAATATTTCAAGAAATTCGATTTTAATTCGAGCTCTGAGATACCGAAATAATTTACACGGCCCGAGACTATCAATTCACAAGCGAAGTCTTTAAAACACCATTACTTTCTTAGGAATAATTTATGCGACAATTTTCTCGTTTATAATTTAATTTGAAAGACTTTGTTGGGACGCGATCCGTATTTCTTTGTACAGAAGACTGTATAATGCCCGAGGGAACACCTGGCCTTTTATTATCAATTTGCGGAGACCGCTGTCAATCCTCGCTACATTTCGCTATCCGCACATACACAAAGGGTTTAACCTAATTCAGACAGTAGTAGATATTTCGGAAAAAACATTAATTATTTATTTTACTACTTACTAGGTTTCTTATTTTTAGTTTTTTACCAACTTCAAAAAGGAGGATGAATGTTAAATTCGTTGTGACAATATCTTTAATTGTGATTTAAGAAAAACTTTTGTAAATGTCGAACAATAATACACTTTTAAGTATTTTAATCTGTTTTGTTAAAATAAAATTTATTATATCATACTTATTGTTAGTTATAGTAGTACTATAATATGTACAATATATAACTAATACTGCCATAAAACTTTTCACAAGAAGGTACCGACGTATTAATATCACTTGTATTTTATAAAGAATTAACTTCATCACTTTGTCATCTACGGTAGTTTCGTAACGGCTGATATTTGAGCAATGTTCCGCAATCTACATCAAACATCGTACCTACTGTCAATATTGAAATTAGCGTTAGATGACTCAATCGCGAAGGTCACAGAAGCGTTTCTACTAAATTAAGTGTTAAATAATTTAATAAAGCATATTCAACTATGTTATTTTAAAAATAAATTTAGCCAATTGGAAAGGAAGAAGAAAGATTGTACTTCGCATGCTCTAGAGTCTTAATAAAGACGTATCTATAGACTATGGCTAGTTCGATATAAGCATTCATGTAACGACTGCATACAATAACGATTTTATTCTTACAGTCTGTTTGCTGTAGAATGAGTTTGGATTACTTGGGAAGATGAATTATAATACTAAAATTGATTTCTATGGGAACTAAAGGCAAACTTATTATGCTTAGTTATTAACATCTACATACATATGTACTAACTTCATTAACGATGTGTTAAATGCTATAATTTTTATTCGTGGATCTGCCTGCGTGATAAGAAGTAGCCAAGATATAAACTCTTTACATTCCAAATATTTCTTAAATTCTTTGAGCCTTACCAGTGAAAATTAAAAAAAAAATCAAGTCAACAACTTTCTCTGTTTTATCATCATATGAGAGATTGTAAAAATAACGTCGAAATTTTAGAAATCTCTTCCAAACTCTTTCTACGACAACTGTCTATCAACTATCAAAAGCATTCTGTTAATGCATACATAACGATAAACGCATACATTGCGTGGTAAGTATGGGGTTGGATGGATGGGTGACTATGGATGGGGTGCATACCTCGAACTGCGGCCACGCCATGGCCATGTTAACTCCATGGTTATTGGCCCACCACTTGAGGTCCTTCTGGTGATCCGCGTTGTTTATTGTATGATGGAATTCTTCGTATATTTGTGGTAATCTGTAAATGACGTACAAAATTGTAAGTAATGATACCTGTTCATGACATCACAGTGTTCCATCTTACACTATATTTTATAAAAAAATATAACGTTAAAAATATTTTATTAATTGAAATTTACACTATCCCTGAGTAAAATAGGCAATTTATTGACAATCCAATACGAGTGAAGGTATTTCCAAAAGGATGAAATTGTTGCTTATTGTAAAAAAAGTCACCTTTAGTGTTATGATTTATTCATTTTGATAAAAAAACTATCCCTTGTATTTTATTATATTAACTGTTTTTTATAGCACCGACCTTATCTTTGCATCAGAAGCCTGACTTGCACCATATTATATGTATAATGTATGTAATATATTAGTGACTCTTAAGAAATATTTACCCAGCGCAAGAATTCGACTCACGTAAGTACCAATCTTTACATATGGATTTTTGAAGAAAAATCCCAAGACAAACGATTCTAAATTAAATTCAAACAAGATAAGATATCAGTGTATTGCTCACGTTCGTAAGCTGACTACACAGTACGTACTTATTTGCGCAGCTTGCAAACGTGGCCTCATATATAACTCTGGTACGAGTATACCGTCGTGTACACAATCGAATCGCTTGGGATTTTCTATCGATTGTTTAATCAAGATTTGGCCCCTGGACAATTTGTTTATAATGGGATCCGAGTCACGTCAAATTGTCCAAGGACATGCTTAATATCTTTGAATAATATTATACAGAGGCAGAGTTTGTTTGTTTGAACACGCTAATCCCTGAAACTACTAATCCGATTTGAAAAATTAATTTTCATTAGATAGCCCGTTTATTGAGGAAGGCTATAGGCTATATATCATCGTGCTACTACCCAAGGGAGCGGAGTAGTAATCATAAATGTCAGCAAATCAGGCACACTTCCATATATTATTATTAAACTGTATATATTATATACCCGAGCGAGGTGGGGGTGAGTCGCTAGTCTTTCAAATAAAGACGTGACAAAATAATGAAAATATAAATTATCATAAATGCATAGATTGAATGAATGTTTAGAATATGTATGTATATTTATTATACCTGTTTTCAGTTACGATACTTCCATAACATTTTTTTAAAAGAAGTACAAAAGGTACCTACATTAATTTAATGTATTGCTAATCTTATTTAAAAAAAATGCAAAGTTGCTGTCACGTTTGTTTTTAAATAAGGCGTAAATTGCTAAACAAATTTCGATGACATTGGGCATTAATATATAGGCTTTTTTATCCCTATTTTTGGAGTCTACTTCTTACTTATTAACACTTACGTAGGTTCCTTGCTAATATCCAAGCATTTGTGAAAACTGAAGAGCACATCTTTAAAGAATGACAATCTTTGGGCTTCCATCTGTTGGCATCGGTCGAAAACGGTCGTCATATCTTCTATGTAGCGTGGATTGAAAGCCGTGATCTCTGCGAGGGCTGCTTGATACTTGTCTCTGTTCTTAGTCACGTCATCTCGGCACTTGGCCACCCTCTCCGCCATTTTCTTTATCTGAATCAAAAGGTTTAAATTATCGGTTACGTTGGTTTGTAAATAAAATTGATATACACACATACATTTATATCCACATTTGCAAAGAACAACATTGTAACTCAGTATTGACATAATTTAAAATAGAAATTACATTTTTCCTATATTTAATGTCCAAATATAAAATTACAGTTACAATTTTGTTCTTTGCAGGTGTTATTACATACTGCTTAATTTATTGCAAGCAATAGCTTACTTGTATATAATAACATGTATATAGCTTTATGGAATTTTGGCAATATAAAGAATCGTTTAATACGCATTTACTGGGTTTGGACCAATAGTAGTAGATATATGATGTGTTCTAAGATATATTTCCACATATAGTTTTTTGAATGAATCAAAAGGAATTTAAATAACTTATATAACTAGCGTTAGAATGAATCATAGAATATTGTATGAAACACCTTCAACATTTATATCCATTGTAATAACAATATTAACATAAATACCTATGCTATTTAGTATTTCTATGTCCTTGTTTTAGTCACATGATTTTCTTTACACACACACATATATATATATATATATGTATATATATATAACAATAAAAATTACACTTTTCAAATATGAAATCACGATACAAGTGTTGAAAATATTACTTACGAAAATTAAACTTCGTAATAAGAATCGTTCATAAGCAAATGGAGTAAAATTTCCCGAAGAGAATTTTACTTTGGACTAACTGCTTTGAATTTTAATACTTCGGGGAAATCTAGCACTACGTTTTATCTCATACAAAATTAATCCGAACGAGAGCGAAAACTACCTGCGATAGCAATTTGACGTGATGATAAAGTATTTTGTTTCTAAAATGTAAACATTATTACTACGCCGGTGATCGTGGGTTCGAGTTCGGAATGGGGTAAAATTTTGAAAGAGAAATATTTCAGAGCCTCACAGAAGGTGTTCACGAACTAAATTAGACACAATATGGAAATTTAATATTAATTTTTAATATATTTTAATAATTCTACATTTAGTGATATAATTAATAGCGCTACTTGTAACTACGCTTACATAATATGAGAATTTCGTAGCAAGCATATGATTAAATTACATACATCTCGAACAACTTTCGAGCTTTAAATACCTACGTGTAGTGAAAACTTTGCACGCGTTAATGAGTTTTTCTTACCAGAATAATTCGCTGATGTCGGCGCGAACAGAAAATTAAATTCAGAAACACAACATACGAGTACATTTCCAACGTTAATTGAATCACAGCTAATTTACAGATGTAAAATAATATGTTGACATTATTATAATTATTTTATAAGTTCGAAAATAAATAATCATAAAACGTCTTAACTTAAGTCTAATTATTTAAGGAAACTAGAATCTTTTAAGGGCTAGGAAATTGTATGAACACTTGACAAATTCGATCACGGCGCGGCGGACAATTTGCTACAGACTAGTCAACATCGCAAAACTATTATAGTGTAGCGTGTGTCTAAACCAAGTGCACTCTGTATTTCATTCAAACTCCGATGGGATAACATTCGACACGATCGGTAAAAGACGAGGCGTAGTTAATTATTAGCCAGGACCGTGATTCGAATCCCAGACATCCCGATACTTGGCAGAACATGCTCGCCATTAGACTAACACGTCAGCTTTATATGTAAGCGTAACCACCGCACATAATTTTTACAAGAACACGTAAATTTGTAGGTTAACCATTAGAGTCCCGTCTGCAGGACTCGCAAAATTACAACATTATGAAAACAGGCCATCTCGCTAAGTGTATTATTAAACTTTTCATATTAAAGTCAATTTTTAAGCGCTTTGTTTCAGAATAACATGTTATGTATACGCCGCCATGTACTACATATAACTTTGAAAAAGCTTTAAGCTTAAGTAGGAACTTATTTCAATGAAAATGAGCGCAAAATTTCAAAAATCATAAAAGAATCTTTAGTTCTGTGTAAAATAAACGTACAGTATAACAGTATAGGTATAGCAAAACGTTCTGAAGACGTAAGATAGCGTGTCGCGAGCACTCGAGTGGAGACCTTTGAAGCGTCACTCATATACCGCCAAGTCAGCCGTCGCCACCCTCAGGGCCACAGCTACGCGTAACTTGGATTAAAATTGTTTTTTGTTTCATATATAAATATAGTATACATATAATGCGTTGTCTGTTCCATGAAAATGTGCTGAAATTAAGCGACAGGTTTTTGTTGTTCGTCGTGTCTCTACATCTCTACTATTCAATGTAAAATGAAAAAGAGATCTAATGTATAGGCAACTCAATTACTGTACAGTTAAGACTGTAACAAATAGACATATCTGTAATTCCATAATTATATCACTACATAGTATAAAACAAAGTCGCTTCCCGCTGTCTGAAACTACGCGACGGATTTTTTAGTAGATATAGTGATTTAATTATATGTATTATACATGCATATTACAGTACAGAAAAGCCGAGAAATTCTAAGATTTGTATTTCATACTAACCGTCAAAACGTACCTAGGGACGGACCGAAGGGAAGCGAGGTACGATTTAAAAGATACAGCGATAGTAGGTAATAGGTACAGCTTTTTATAAACAATAACACCTGACGTTAAAAATCATTATTTTAGATTATCCAATCAGTTAAATTATACAAAATGATGATATGTACAAATTATGACTCAATACTTTAACCTATTAACCGGTGCTGGTATGTCTGTTGATCACTTTTTACCAAATATAGGCAGCGACCTTTAATGACATCACAGATTGCCTCACACAAACAATTATTTATTATAATTATTATTTATAATCACAATGTTACGACATCCGTCTCATCAGACGTTAAGAATTTAACATATAATTATTATTTGAATAGATTTTTTTTCAAAATTATAACGAGAAAATGTTAAAGACATGTATCATGTATTATATCAACATAACTATTTTTTTAACTGAATGTCACGTCAAATGTCATGGTCTAAAGTCTTAGGCACGATTTCACCAATGTCACCTAAGTTTAAAGGATCCCCTAAGCATGGTTAGGGGGCTGTTAGGGGACACTTTCTGTTTCACCGACAGTTAGAGGCCCCCTAAATTAAGGTGCTTGAAATATGGGCTTAAAGACGATCGTAAAACAAAATTTAATTTAGAGGCTAGTTTAGGGGAATTTTAAGCTAGGGATCCCATACGTAGGTGGTAGCTTATGGGTTGTTGGTGAAATCGGGCATTAGACTTGTTGTTATGTCTATTTACCTAATAACTAAAGCTACGAGTGGATGTTCTTCGTCTATTTTAGATTTTTTTAAGTTCGAAATTATGTATATATTATTCACTCAATGTTCTCCAATAAGCATAATCTCCAGTACATAAAATCAATAGAGGTAAAGCTGTCAGCCCTTGAGGGCGTATCGAAAGCACTTTGTTTGATAGGGATTCAATCATTCAAGTAAATGCGCCCTTGAGAAAGTCGCGTGGGCGTTTGTAGGACGTGTTCGAACGATTAGAGGGAAATATTTCGTATTGGAGATTTATCACTTGTATGTATTTGTAGAGCTTCAGTTTATTTAAGGCAGCTCTTACAGAAAACAAAATTATATAGTACTAGCGACTCACACTCGCTCCGCTTAGGTTCGTCCAGTAACGATTTAACGTTTAGTATAGATTTCTCAGAGATACTTACCCGCAGTAAAAAGTATTCTATATGGTTTTCTCCTGATGCGGTCACAGACAGACAGACAAAAATTCTAAATACTATAAATTCGGCCTCTGTATCGATAATAATGACTATTTCAATAAGACTTTCCAAAAAAATTTAATGTACAGATTCGACTCAGTTAGAATTTTATTATATCAACCTGACAAACAGCACACATTTATATTGATAATAAAATATTTTGCGAAATATTCTAGAGAAGGTCCCTGTGGAGCGCATTAATTCACTAAAGCTACGCGCCTAAAGCTCATTTTATCGGTAAAATTATTGCGAAGTCTTTTTATTATCACATTGCATTAAAACTTTATCGACTCGTATATTATTACATTAGGTAGGTTATTATAAATATGTAAATATATTTGTATGTAGGTATGTTTGTTGCGTCATTACGCTGAGACTGACAAAATTGAATGAAATTTAGTATTGTATATAGGAATAACACAGTCTAGTTAATAATAAAATTTGCCGAAAGATGGCATTGTAAATTACCAGTAACTCGATAAAATACAGTACCTAATTAGGTCCATTTTAATTATAATACCTTAAACTATTAGGAATAATTGTAGCCTACTTCTAGTTTTGTAATGAAAAATGTAATTTTATAGACATGTATAATAAAATCTATTTACATGTGAGTACTTTTATCACCTGAGACAGTTACAAAGGTGTGTCGGTTGACCGGCGACCGACGACCGGAGGCAGCGCTGCGGCGCGCTCTTAGCCTGACGTTCAATTTCCTGCCTTCCACCCTTTCTAGGTCAATGTAAACACTACTCATATGGACCTATACCTATGCAACTGATACATATATTCAAATATGTTCAATGAAATCACAACATTACGTTCAACAGTTAAAATGGCAGAAAGTTATTTCTTCGCTATCGCTTTGAATATCTAATTCTTTATTGATGTGATTTTTATAAAGAGATTGTTGAGACTGCTACTAGGATACTTTTTATCCCGATACACATTTGTATGTGGGTGGCGTATCCGCGTGATGGATAACGAGTATCCCAGTAGTTACGAGACTATTTTAGAGTTTAGATGCTCACTAAAGTTAAACATGTGAGCATATCAATTTACAGTATATTGTTAAGGCCAAACGGTTTAGCGGTGGCGAAAGGGTTTATATAACCCAATTTACAACGGCTTATCTTTTTCAAAATCACCTGTCTGGTAATCTACCATTGCTTAAGAAATTAAGCAAATAAATCGTTATCTATGTTACTACATGTAAGTAGCCCTAGATTTCAGACGTAAATAAAAAAATATATTTCACAAAATGAG